ACTGGTTCTCATTTGGCTATAATGTCGAGATAACTTCTGTATGATTGTTTATTCTACTTCATCAATCATGTAGAATGTGCACTTGTGAATTAAGATATGATGGAGTAGAGCAATAATTAAAGCTAAGTATATTTCTACTAGTTTGTTAAATCCATCAACGTAAGTTTAGCTTGGAAATTACTTGCATTTGGATTTTGATTGAACGTTTCTCATGATACATTATAATAATATTACAGGTTATTCTTTCGTTGGTGATACTTAACTCTATTGTCTGCTGATGTTGTTTATACTGAAGGAAGAGCTAGTTCCAACGTCCATACATCACCCATGCAGGAAAATAATTACAAGGTTTCCCCAAAAGCAATGCTTAAGGAAATGTCACACCTTCCCTTTGATACTAATCTTGAGAGTCCAGCCAAAAAGCTTAAACAAGTGAATCCCAATCTTAAAGGTGATGCAATGGAGTTTGTGAGAGAGATGGTGTTGCGAAATCGGCAAGTATACCGTTCGTTTCAAGTAATAAAGTGATAAGTAAAGTATCGTTCTCACGAGGATTAATGCACCAAGTACTAGTTTAACTATTCCCCTTAAGTTGGAAAATAAAATTGGGTTGAGTTGTGAAAGTAATTGATCTTGGAATTTCAAAACAAAATTTAAAAATAATTAAATTTAAAACAGATAATTAATAACAATTAAATTTGAACACATGCAAGAATTAATCAAGAACGTAATAAAATATTGATAGAAATTTGTATAAATGATGTAGCCTGGATGCACTTCACCTCCGATCCTCCCTTATATTCCTATATTGTATTTTATAATCAATTACTTCGTTTGTTCTGACAATTCATTATTTCCCTATAAAATAGTTGAACCCTAATGTCTTAGTGATTTTAACCCTTTAACCCAATCAGAATCCTAATGTCTTAGTAATCCTTCTTGAATTAAGCATTAAGCAAATGAATTATGAGTCTGCAATTTATGTAAGCTTATGTCTAGATCATACACAAATTGTTATTCTACCCTTGTCCAGACTAAAACCCCAATATGTCTATTGTGAATCCTAACCCTCAAAGCCCTATAATTTAGAGTGATCAGTTCTAAACATGATATGAAAAATTAAACCAGGTAGAAAAAAATAAACTATCTAAATAACTTATAAAATATCAATACAGAAAATATAAAGGATTTACATCGGGTTCGTGATCCTAACTACAAAAACAAACTAGCCAGACATAGCTGGCTTAAACAAATTAAAAGAATAAAAAGAATTCATGAGAACAATAAAGAAAAAGAAGGAGAAGAAGAAGAAGGATCAATGATCTTCAGTCTTCAACTCCTTCGGAATCCTGATCTCCAGCGTGAGCCTCCAAAAATTCTCTCAAGCCAAAGATTGTTTGTCTCTGAGGTCTGAGTCTCTATTTATAGAGTTTGTGACCTTGTGTAGAAATCTTGATCAAATCTTCATCATATCTCTTGGTCCAATCTCCCTCTGATATAGTTTGATATAAGCTTGAAAAATCACCACGTGCCTCCCGCGCTACTAGCGTGAATCCCACGCTAATAGCGTGGGAGTATTGTTCTTGATACAGGAGCTTGGCGCTACTAGCGTGGATCCCACGCTAATAGCGTGGGAGTTTTGTTCACAGTTCTGGAAGTTCACGCAACTAGCGTGGTTCCCACGCTGTGAGCGTGGGTTGCAAGAAAGTCTGGCGCAACTAGCGTGAGTTTTTACGCTGTGAGCGTGGATGTCTCGGGATGAAATTTAATTCTGGCGCTACTAGCGTGAGTTCCACGCTAGTAGCGTGGGGCTTCAGCTTGGAAACTTCAACTTGGGCTTCTTTTTGTCCTGTTTTCCTACAAAAGCAAAATGAAATCAGTTGCGTGATCTCTGATTGAGATTTATCAAATTATCAGTTATTCTAGCCCTTTTTATCCGGGATTGATCAAGATTTTTTCTTTTTTTGGATTAAATTTATATATATGCTGGAGGCATATCAGATGCATAGCGTGACTACTACTGGAGATGGCCCCAATGGGAAGAGAATAGAAGGGCTTCTATACAATTATAGGAGAGATCAAGTGTGTATTGTATGTGTCTGCCATGGCAGCTTCCTCTCTCCAGCAGAATTTGTGATGCATGCTGGTGGCAAGGAAGTGGCTAATCCCATGAAACACATCACTCTTTGTTCTAACTCATTTTAGATTAATGGATGAGATGGACCTCCCTTTATCACTCACCCCTTTTAGAATTTCTAGAGGAAGCAAAGAATCCTTACTTATCTTCAAAAAAAGGTTTATCCAATTTGTTATCCTTCAATTCAGTGTCACTGCCAGCTTTCGAATTAGTGTTAGGGTCGTTAAAACTAGACCGGAGTACAGTTGAACAGGTTTGCTAATAAATTGGATACTTAGTGTGGTTAAGTCTTATAATCAAATTGATTATGACTGTTTTAAAATTCTGTTTTATTTGGTTAAATAAATTGACTATTAATACATTTTGAATAAAATTCAAACATATTTTTTATATGAATAAAACTACTCTCATGTCGTTGGAGAGTAGTTTTCTTTTTTATACATCCATCAATTTTTGTATAATTTATTTTTTGTTTTTTATAAGTGAGTGGGATTCATTTATGGTTATATCTATGGTAGGAGAAAATTACTCTTCCACGTCATGAGATTAGTAAAACTTTTTTTTATATATTTCAAATTGTTAAATGTAAGTTACTTTTATAACTTCGTTCAATTCCACCAATCAGTTTATATGGTTGAACAGAGAGAGTGAATTACCAGCCCCTATGTATTTGGAGAAGGCCACGATGCACATTATCGGAGAAGGCATGATACTTTGGACTTCTCTTGGAGTGGCATCTCTTGGAGAAGGCCACAACATTAGGCTTGGAATAGGAAAAAAAAAAATTATCCGAAAATCTTGATTTTCATAAATATGATTTTTACATTCAGTTTATAATAATATTCGAAAATTAAAAATTTAAAAAAATTCAATTTCTCGAGAATTTGGGAGAATACTGTGTACCAAACGCCCCTTTAGATAGTTATGCCGATCTATAATTAGTTATGCTACTTTGGACTTTGACTGATTTATTTATGAAGTATTGTTGAGGAAGATATTGATAAATTTACTTCAATGATTTATTTTAGGGTTTAGTGGGTGTTATTTTAAAGAACATAAGTTGTGTCCTTTTAGTGAATTACACAAAGTATGACCGATCATATTTTATGTAAATATGAAAAGTTGCTTTTTTTCACTTTACACATAGCGACGTGACAGAAAGAAAAAAAATTAACTTTTCAGATTGAGAAAGAAAAAAAAGTATCTGAAAAAGAAAAAAAAGTAACTTTTTAGATTTACAAAAAGTACGACCGGTCATATTTTGTGTAAAACACCTAAAAAGACACAAGCTTGTGTTATTTAAAAGGATACTTCTTTTTCCTCTTATTTTATTATTAAGTATTGCAAAATCTTGGTCAAGCCTGATGTTGTCATGCTAAGGTGCAAGGATTCTTAGGTCTGAATAATTTTAATGGTGTTCAACTCTCCAAAAATTATGTTGTCATATTATTAATCTTGGATCTCATTTCATATTGGATCATCACAGCAATAACGGCATGATAAACGATGAAAAATGGCGTGCCACCTATTATATTACATAAAAGTCTTGTTGAAAAAGACATTCATAAATTTACTTCAATGATTTATTTCATTATAAGTATTAAAAAATCTTGGCCAAGCCTGATGCTGAGGTGCGAAGAATTCTTAGGTCTGAATAATTTTGTGGCATTTAACTCTCCAATAAATTATTCTGTGTCGTATTGTCAAATTTTGGATCTCATTTCACACAGGTTCATTACAGCAATAACGGGATTATAAATGATGAGGTGCGAAGAATTTTAGGTGTGAATAATTTTATGGCATTCAACTCTCCAATAAATTATTCTGTGTCGTATTGTCAAAGACATAAATATTCCATTATAGCATCGATTATCTATTTATATATCAAATACCCAAACTCAAGAGCACTGAACCACCTACTCGATCCTTTTTTTCTTTTCTGTATTCCGTAAAACGCAACGGATACATTTATGTTAAACACAAAGCTTTAATAATTCATATGGTCCACCCAAAGCAAAGCAAGTACTAGTAGTGATTATTATGCCTAAATTCTCGTTAAAAACAGAATCGACAAATTCAATTTCATACACACACAAAAAATTTTAATAAATTTAATGGTTTATATAATTATTAATATAATTAAATTTGTTAAACATGATTTCACCGAAAAAATTGTGTCGGTGTCTTACAGAGCGAGCTGGGACATGAGTGAGAAATAGTGTTAGTCAAAAGTTACATAAATACAAGTTCAATTATTATGTTTACGAGTAGGAATATTTTTATTATAAAAAAAATTTATTATCAATTTATTATCTATTTAATTATTATTGAATCAAAGAAAAAAAATATTTAAAAGTTTACGAAGAAAGAAAAAATATTGATCTAATGATAATTGATAATGAGTTGATAATAAATTTTTTTGATTGTAAAAATATTGGTCCATTATGTTTACAATACTAATTCACTAGGAGGCGTTTGATACGCGGAATTCTTCAAAATTTTCGGCAAACTGAATTTTTAAAATTTTTTAATTTTTGGATATTATCATAAACTAAATGCAAAAATTATATTTTAAAAAATCGAGATTCTCGAACAAATAAAAAATTTTCTTGTACCAAATGCCCCCGTAATTATTCAAAAAAAAATTAAGCAAATATTCTTCGGCTTAGAGTTTTTGACAACACGATATAAGAAGTTTTAAATATAAAATTGTAATATAATTTTAGGTTGTGATATTGAAAGAAAGGAAAATAATATAGTTTGACAATAGGAAACACAAAATGTGGGGAATATTCGCGGAAACCATAACTATAATATCCTAGGCAAGAGAGCGACTCTGATCAATTATTTATTAACATAATCATAGTAATCAATTAGTATATAACCGTTCCTAGGAAGACTCAAAAATTGCACCAGACAAGATTGGACTTGGTTAGGGACACAACACAACACAACCATCTCCATGGCTTCCTCGCCTTGTAAGGCTTATCTACTTTTAAGAATCTGTGTTTCTCTGTCTTCACCTTTTTTTGTATGTTTTTGGCATCCACTTCTTTCATATTTTGTTTCTATTGATCTGAGTGAGGATTTCTCTTTTTTCCTGAATCGAAGTTTTTTTTTTTTTTGGGTGGAACTATTACTGCTTCTTAATTAATCAATGAGCCTTTGCCATTTATCACTGGACGTACCAATTTCCTTCAATTTCTTTCTGGGATGTTATCAGTCATCAGTACTATATTTATAGCTGGCGCATCTTATCAGGCTTCACTTCCTAATTAAAAAAGTAGGCATAAAAATGGGATGTATGTTTTTTCATGCTTGTGTGCAAATAATTGTTTTTCCCTGTAGTGTTTCAAGCTAAATATCTCTTTAAGTTGGTGTAATAATTCTAAGGTTAACAGGTTTTGCACCTATTGTATTTCTATTGCTCATTGTTGGGTGCACTGCAAGGCCTCTCTATCCGCTTCCCAGCAAAGGTGGTGATGGAAGTAAACAACCTCTACAAACTTTTCGCCCATATAACATTGCACATCGGGGTTCAAATGGAGAGATTCCTGAAGAAACTCGTCCAGCATACATGGTGAGTAAGGCCATAACTCTTTTGGAAAAATTGCATTCCTTTCTTATTATTTTATATCTAATTTGAACAGTGAACAAAATTATATGCACCAAAAAAAAAAGTATAGGAAGTTTACCTGATATGCCCCTGTTCTCTATCCTGCACATATAATTATATCCGTTGACCCTACAGAAACTGAATAGCTCAGTGCTTTTTTTAATTAGTTTTTAGATTCATTTTATCAAGGGGGTGGTTATACTTAATATCATTTTAGTCTTACTATCTAATTGATGAATGTTAGATCAATTTGAAATCAAATGGCAGCTAATTTTTCTCATTTTTTAACTTTATTTCAAATTGATCCAAGAGTAACCAATCAGGTAATAAGAATAGTAAGGTTAAAATGGTAGTAAGTTAGCCTTTCCCTTTTATCAAAGCTTCGGTTATCATATTTGTTAGAGAAATATTAAAACGGTTGATGAGCCTTCACTTACCTGCTCAAATTGTTGGGTGAGATGTTGCTTAACAAGGTACCAGAGCTATATAAAAACCATTGATGAGTCGTTAATTATCAGCTTAAGCTGTTCGGCGAGATGATTGCTTATTATGGTATCAAAGCCTCCATGACCACGGGGTTCGATCTTTACTGCTCCCCACTTTCTAGTGGAATTAAGTAAGCACAAAGTAGAAAAAAAAATGGGCTTAAGTTAGCACAAGGTAGAATTAGAAAAACCAAATGGATCTGTGTAACATCCACGCTTCAAACCTCGCGTAAGGAGGTGTGTTAGAAAAATATAAAAACCATTAATGGGTGTTCACTTATCAGTTGGAGTTGTTGGGTGAGATGGTTGGTTGCCAATATTGATTCTTGTTATCAAATGCAATCGTGCTACAATTATGCATAAACTTTTGTAAGGTACAATCATTTTCATCTTTGGCTTAAGCTTTTTAAAAATGAATCTCTTGTAGAGAGCTATTGAAGAAGGTGCAGACTTCATTGAAACTGATATCTTATCTTCCAAAGATGGTGTTCTTATATGTTTCCATGATGTTAACCTCGATGATATTACTGACATTGCAAAGCACAAAGAGTTTGCTAATCGTAAAAGAACATATGAAGTCGAAGGGGACACCATCACTGGCTTTTTTACTGGTACTGTTGCTATTCTTTGTATTTCCTTCACAAAATATTTTAGGAGGTTAATCTGATTGCTCCTGTCTACTGCTTATGACATAAATGCATAAGCTTGAAATACATATCAACTTTCATTGTTTTTAGTGGTGTGTATTCCTGAAGGTTTGCTTATGTTTCAAGCTCTATATTGGTGTTTAACGTCCGTTATGGCATCTAAACAAATTTGGTTCCTGTTGAAATAATCTAATTTGCTAAAATAATTGTACTCAATTGTATATTCGCAGTTGATTTCACATTAGAGGAATTAAAGTCATTGAGGGTGAATCAGAGGTATAAATTCAGGGATCAACAGTTTAATGGTTAGTCCCTACTTACACCTAGTAGCTCCTCGTTCTATTATGGTGTAGTTTTCTTTCGTTTTGTAACTTGTTCGTGCATTGATTGTGAACTATTCTGTTGCCAGAGTTCTCTACATGGTACTTCTAAAACCATTATCAATAAATTTTTCAATTTATGATAGATTTTAATATTTGATTCAGATATCTTTATCCTCCATACATATACAGACACACCACACACAAGGAAGGTTGCAACTACTTTTTTTTTTCCAGCTGTCTGCTGATGACTTGTTTTTCTCTTGTGATTATTACATGAAACTATTATTATTTTGGCGCATTAAATAGTAGCTAACTGTAAGTCTATAACCTTATACTTGGAATCTCTTTTAGGAAAATTTCAAATCATCACTTTCGAAGAGTACATTTCCATTGCACTGGATGCACCCAGAGTTGTTGGAATATATCCAGAGATAAAGAGTCCAGTATTTATTAATCAGCATGTGAGTATTTCTCCTTAGAATCCAATAACTGACTAAATGTTCAGAGAGAGGGTGGAAAAAAACTTGTAGCAACAAAGATGAATTGTTCCAAAAGGCAAAACTATTGATATATCATTCATCTACCGGAAGAATATATTAGAGTCCTTCATTCTTATTGCACGTACGTATCTGATGATTAGTGCTGGTGGTATCTTGTACAGTCAATGAAATAAACTCTCATCTTTACTTTAAATTAAGGCTAATGACTATTATATGAGGTGAGATTATATTGTTGGAAGTTTTGAATGAGGAAAATGGTATGAAAAAGGTATTTTTATCACCTGATAGAATATGCTTTATGCAAAAAATCTTACAATTTCATGCTTGATAACTTGGTCTTGACAGATCCTTAAATCTTCCATCCCCTCTATTTTGAAAATTACACTCGCCTTCCTTGAGAGATTAATGTTGTATACTTTAGTCTATTTTAATGTTAACAAGCCTCTTAGGGACAGGTTTTCTATCTTTGCAGTGTTATCAGTGCCTAGTTTTGAATCTCAACTATCGATTATAGGATTTTATAAGATGAAATGAAAATTCTGGGTGAAGTTTTAAAACCAATAGTAGGGGTCTTCCAAACTTAGTTTCATCTTCTAAAGTCCCAAAGTCGATAGTAGGTACTTAAAATTAGGTTCCTGTGACATTGAGAGTTGCAGAGAGAGGAACTAGGAGGCTTGTTCATAATTGTTTATGACCATTATGAGGGTCGTTTACAATTAAATGGACTAAAGTGCTGCACATTTTCATCTTTGGAGGAGATTGTAATTTTTCAAAATAAAGGTGAGCACAGTGTAATTTGACCATTTTCCCAAGGAAGGGAGTGTAATTTACTCTAATTAGTAATATGTTTTAGCCAATTTCTTTGAGAGGTTGTGTGTGCTTTCTGTTCATTAATTTGATACAATCAACAGGTGAAATGGTCAGACGGAAAGAGATTTGAGGACAAGTTTGTGGAGATACTTCAGAAATATGGATACAAGGGTTCCTACCTGTCAAAAGATTGGTTAAAACAACCTGCATTTATTCAGTCATTTGCTCCAACTTCACTTGTGCATATAGCAAATCAAACAGACTTGCCCAAGATTTTCTTAATTGATGATATTACTGTTCCAACACAAGACACTAATCAGGTGCGTAATGCATTTTACCCCTGGTGTAGCCTCTCTGAAGCTGCATTAGGATTATTGAACTTCAGTACTCTCTGCAAGTTCTTGGAACAAAATGGATTTTTTTTAGTGGAGTTTGTTATACTTGTGAAAGTAATGATTGATATTATAATAATTTTAGACATTAAAAATTCATACACTACAAAGAGAAAACAAATTGTAGTCCAAATAGTGCAGCTTTATACTCATTTTATACGGAGGAGAATAGTAAACACTTTTCTTTCTTATTATTGTTAAATAAATGAAGGAATGAAAATGGAGAATATATCTAGACTTATGTTCTGTCCAAATACCTTGTCAATTTTCACTGTTCTATTTTTCAGCTTTCCACTTTCACTCTTAGCCAGCACGCTCAATGCTGGCTTCCTTAAATTATATATTGAAATTGGAAAAACCCCTGCCCTAGGAGATTATCCATTCCTACATGACTGTACCTTGATTAATCCCTTGATCTCACCCAGATTTATGTACTATCTGATTGTTTACTAATGTAATACTGCCTACATTTTACTACTGTTGTTTTCCAATTATAAGTTGTCTATTCTAAAGCCTAACAAAATAGTACTGTAACGATGATGTGCAGTCATATTGGGAAATCACATCTGATAAATACCTAGACTACATTAAGCAATATGTTGTGGGAATTGGACCTTGGAAGGACACGGTGGTACCTGTGGTAAATAATTATATCAAAACTCCTACTGATCTTGTTGCCAGGGCACATGCTCATAACCTGCAGGTAAACTTCTTGTTTAAAGCTTGTTTTCTTTCATATGATTTCATGGATTTGATAATTCTCACAAGATTGTGTGGATGTATGTATTCATTGATTTCATTGTCATATATGTTTCATGAGAATCTGTTGGACATTTCTCCACTTTAATTTTTAATATATTTGAGTGTATTCCATGAATGGTTTTAGAGCTAAACAAATGACAATATGAATGGCTAATAATGATGCAGGTGCATCCATATACTTACCGAAATGAGAACTCGTACTTGCACTTCAACTTCAGTCAAGATCCGTATATAGAGTATGATTACTGGATCAACAAGATAGGAGTTGATGGTCTGTTTACAGACTTCACAGGTAGTCTTCATAATTTTCAGGAATGGACCTCCCATAACCATCAAGATGACAAGACTGCATCCCAGCTATTGCATAAAATTGCTTTGTTGGTCTCATCTTATAAAAGATAATGAGAAGTCAGATGGTCTGAGTAAGTGTGTACTTGGATTATAGCTAATTTTAGAAATGCTTATATCAGCATATTCAAGAGTCAAGACAGCTTTTGACTGAAGAGCTGTTTTGTCTACATATTAAGCAAAACCAAAAAAACACTATTCTTAGTGAGACAATACCAGCATTGTAAGCTGTATGGGGATTTTTGTTCCCCCAACAAATAAGGTTTATTTTTTCAGGTAATGAATAAAGAATTATAGAGTTCAGCTGCAATTCTGGCCTGCATTTACATGAAAAATATAGAAGCTGGGAATTAGGATTACTGAGTACTGATCTCCCCCATACCCTAAAAATAAAAAAAAAAATAAGGAAAGGAAAAAGTGAACTTGGGTCATTTTTCCCTGGATAAATTTCAGATTTTTGGATGCTGAGAAACTCAACCATTTCTGTTTACAACTTGGAAGCGATCTCGTATGCCATGTTCATCTTGTAAATAACTAATCAGACTGAAATTGAATAAAAATGTTTAAAGAAAAAAGTATCGGATAACATGTATCATCACTGCTAATATTGACTTCTTCTATCACTTCAATGCTTGTCTTGATAATATTCTGAAAGCAACAGTATAGTTACTCGGAAGCTTAATATCTGTGTAGTTGTAACGATTTTGGATATCTCCCTTATTTTTTTAGATAGGTGTAAGCATATTTTTCCTTCATACATTACACATCGTATTAGTTTGGAGAATCTTATGAAAAGATTTATCAACTAATTTATTGACAAGTCTCTCAAACCTCTCCACATTTCAATAGGGACGTCATTAGGACACAGATTTATTACTCTTCTTTATCTTCTTAAATGTCTCCTTAATTTCATGCGATTTGATTCTGTGCATAAATCTTCTATTCAAATCATCGTAAGCGTATTCCAAATCCACCTCATTTTTTTTATCATCCCCATTAAAAAACTTGTTAAAATAGTTTATCTACCTTTCTTTAACTTTTATATTTCTTATCAAAATATTTTTATTTTTATCCTTGATGTATTTATCTCGGGTCAAGTTTTTACTTTTCTTATCCATTATCTTTGTAAATTTATAGATAGATTTTTTACCATCTTTGCAAGATTTTTATACATATCAAAGAAAAAATTATCTCTAATCTCTTGTACTAGCAAATCTAAATGTTTGCAAGTTCACTTACTAAAAAAAAATGTTTGCAAGTTCTCAATTAAGACATCTATATAAATATCCACTACCAAATTTTCTTTGTTTGAAATATATTCCTTTTACTTTTTCCTAACACCTTCCGAATTCCACACCATCTCTATTTTTTTTTTATCTCAGGTCAATAATATTAAACCCTGATTTACTTTAGCCTAAATGAATTAAAACAACCAGATAAGGGCACAATAACGGAAAATCAATAACTTTAGAGCAGTCAAAATATCCTAATTTCTTGGATCTAGCTTCAAAGCTCAACTCTATCTACAAAATTCACTTTGTGCGGAAATTGCTTTCAGCGCTAATCCACAAAGCTCATTGAGTAAGTAGACTGAATTGAAGCTTATTCACGCATCAGAACCACTTTTTCACCCACAAAAACATACATTGAAATATATATATATATATATATATATATATATATATATATATATATATATTTATTTATTAGGTCTCACTCATTAATTAATTTTTAATTCTCAATAAATCTCAACCATTAGATGCACGGAAATCAACGGTTAAGATTTGATGTAAGATTTATTATTCTCACACTGGTGTAAGTTGATCCTATATATATATAGAGAGAGAAATATGATCTGTTTACAATTTTTTTTGCAAATTACACTAAGTACGACCGGTCGTATACACTGAATGATTAAAATATGACCGGTCGTACTTAGTGTAGTTTGTAAAAGAAAAGTTTGTAAATATAACCTGCCCACACACACATATATATATATATATATATATATATATATATATATATTATAAATATATTAAAAATGGATTAAATTAAAATAAAAAAATAATAATTACAAATTATTAGATATAAAAACTTAAATAAAGTTTCTAAATATTTATATTATCATATTTTTAGTAAAATAAGGATCTATATTATAATTTAACCTAAAATTGAAGTTAGATCATAGTTTATCATATTCAACATTTTGCCGTGCTTATTTTATAAAATTGTATTTAAATTTTAAAATTTTAGATGCTTAATTTAGTTTGTAAGAATTGCCCATCTTTAAAGTACTGTTAAAGATTATGTGTATATTAGGATTAACTTATTTAGAAGAAAAAATTATAATAGAATTTAGAGAAAATTTTAAAAAAGTATTTCCTTAAAAAAAATAAAAAAATAAAAGCTAAGCTAAACGTTTTATAGTCAGATCAATGTGAGAAAAATTCTAACATAATTCAATTAAATATTGAAGGGATTATAAAAATTACCCATTAAAATTGAACAATATATGAAATATGTGGCTACTTATTAGCAACATCCTTGTGTCTTGAATCTTTCCTGAAGATGGGTTTGTGAAGGTAAATACATATACAGCTTTCCGTGGTAATCCTGGTGTGGCAACTTGTGGGTATTGTATAAGTTGAGTTTCTGCTCTTCTTTTAAAGCTGAATTATAAGGTATTCTGAAGGGTTTGGAAAGGGCTTGAAGCAAGGGTTACAGGAAAATTATCTTAGAAAGTGATTCGTTGTTGGCAATTACTATGCTCACCAATTGTGGTGTAGGTGTAGTTGGTTTCTCGTATACAGACGTGGCTTGGAAAGGAGTGACAGGTTTATCTCCATCACAATTTCAAAGAAAACAACTCATGTGCAGATTGGTTACCTAACTTTATTTTAGATTCTGGTGAGCTAGCTGAGTGTTTTTTTAGTCATCCTCCACTTGGTATGCAACATTTACATCTTAGTGATTTGACTTCGGTATGAAGGGAGTGAGCTTTGGCACTCCCTAGATAGTTTCATCTTTTGTTTTGTTTTGTTTTGGAGCTCATTAGCCGTTTTGTTTATCAAAAAAAAAAAAAAAATTCCTTACACTGAAGAACTCGCCTTGTAAAGGTTTATATTTGGTATTTGAAAGCCTCGGAGTTGCGTTTTCAGCAAGACAAGAGGTAAGCATAGCAACGGCACGAAGCACCCAAAAGGCCAAAACTCCAAACCACTGCGAGTGAAAACATTTTATATATCAGTTAATATTTTGTAATTAAATTCTTAAATTTTATTATAAAAAAATAAAATCCTAAATTTTTTTTCATAATCTAAGAAAAATTATAATAATATTTCAGCATTTATTTATTTAATAATAATAAATCATGTGAGTGATAATTTTATTTTATAAACTATTTATAATATAGAATTTCACATTAATGTTAAGATGAAAATTGATAGGTAAAACTATTATATATTGTATTAGATAAAATATATTTAAAATCATCTTTTCTATTATTAATTTCTTTTACATTTTAATTTTTTAAATAAAAATATTAAAAATTAAAGGCCCGTGGATTGATTCTGACACAACTTTGTAGGGCTTTCGACTCATGTAAACCATCACTATTTAGGGTTTTTTTTGTACCTATGGGCTTTTTAGCCATGAAATAATCTAACGGGGGTGGGCTCGCCAATTTTAGAAGCTTTAAATAACTGTAAATATAAGCATCCAAAGTAGCAAGAACCACTGTTAATATAAACTTAAGATGCAGCAAAATGAATAACACATGCCACCTAAGGAATTCATAATTACAAGCAGTAAATTTCTCGAGAGCCGTGAACCAAAAGATCTAAAAACTACAAAATCCAGCATATCCATCTTAGTGAGAAACCATCATCTTTGATATATCTTCAAGGAGAATTCTTGACTCAGCAGCAAAGTCAACAGGAACAACTGCCCGGGCAGTTATCCTTTGCCGCTTCTCGTTATTATACTCATTCTGGGAAACACTAACCCGGAAAAGATGCGGAACCCAAGTTGCTTGTTTTAATTTCAGTTGATAAGGATTATCTTCTCCCCACTGAAATAAACAAAAAGAATTTTAACATCAAAACAAAATTGAGTCATCCAGCTCAAAGAATCAAGACCCGGGTAACTAATGTTACCTGTGACTTAAGGTTATCTAGCTCCTCAGCAGAGCACCCAACGATTTTCCCAGCTTCTTCATTGAAGACTGAGACAAAAGCCTCACCACTTGCATCAGAAACTTTAACAACCATAATATACCTGAAAGAGAGCAATTGAAAATTTTAAAAACTGACAATATATGGAAAACTTCCGGATTAAATTTGATAGCTGCATTACCTTAAATTGCAATGTTCATCGTTTTTCTGGCAACCCTCGCACCAGTACCCAGCTCCGATACTTTCAGTAACTTTCTTGTTGCAAGTCTTACAGGCACGATACCACATTGCCTGCTCAGGCTTTATGAAGCTTACATATCCTCTAATACTGAAAAACGCAGGCTGTCCAAACCAACAAAATAATCTATTAGTGACCGGAGGAAAATCCATTTAAATTTGCAAGACTTCCAAGAATAGTTTCATTGAACGTTCATATCAAACAATAACCAGATAAAACCATCTTGGCAATGTCAAAACATTCTGGAACTAGAATACAAAACATTGGGCTGCATTATTAGATCAGAAACTATACTATTTTGCAACAAATACCTTGTCACTCCCCAAGGACTGGTTTGAGGTTATGTGAGAAAGTGAAACACGGTCGGAGTACACTGATCTAATTCCATTGTTAGATGCCGGACTTGAACCAGAGCCTATAGGGGCCATTACGGCATCCTTACCTTCAGAATCATACCTGTGGTCCAAATGAGCATATAAATATGATTATAAAAAAAAAAAAATCATAACAAGGGTACAATAGCCTTATGGACATTGGTATACCAGCATCTGAGTTTCTTCGCTTCGGGTATGTCTGGATTTATCAGAACTACACTTTTGCTGATAGTTGACAAAGAAACGCCTGAAACAGAAGAGATTCAAGAATGACATATATGTCAGCCTCTTGCACTTATGCAATACAATAATCACCAAAGCTTATGCCTTAACATACCTTGGAAGTCCCCAACCCTTAGGGATTTGATTGCAATGACTGGAGATGTATCAGCAACGTCCAGTAAATCTTGCCCTATGTTAGTTGCGAGTTCATTCCACAAAGACACAACTACTGTCTTCTTACTGCAATGCCAAATATAGATATTTAAAGTTCCACAATAATACAAAAGAATAAATGCTAATTGCTGCAGGTTGAGAAAGAGAAAACACTCACGTTTCATCAGTAATAGTAATGTCACGCTTTGGGATACTCTCATTGTTGCTCTTCCTTCGAATGCTCATTGTTGAAGACACATTCTGAACTACTCCAACGACATCTGAAATTCATAACAGATATTATCAATAAGAGAAAAGCAAAGGTTTAAAACACAGCTGTAGCACGTTTCCTAAACAACACTCACCCACAAGGTCAGACTTATTGACATGAGGGCCCAGCTGATCAATCTGGACAAACGTGAATTTTGTTTCGGGAACAAAACTCACTTCATTGGCCACCTCTTCCACCTCAGAATTCTCATTAAGTGTCATTTCATAATCATTTTGCACAGTTTTGAACTGTTTGTTGGCAACCTTTAAAGCTCCCTTTGAAATGTAGTAAACCTTCCCCATAACAAATTTGTCGTAAAACTTCCTAGCAGCATCATTAAACATGGTTGCTTGAATCTGAGTACCCTGAAAAATATTTTAAAAGGAAAAAAGAAAAAATAACATTACCCTCTATACTTGACGAACAAGACAACATCCAAATGTCAAATAAATGCAAGATATTGATCAAATAGACAATATGTTTCTTACATCTTCATCTGTCAACTCCACATTGAAGACACAACCTTCCCCTCTAGCATTCTTATAAGTGCGCATGTTCCCTTTGCTCGTAACACTAACCTTTATTGTCCAATTACCCTGATAAGGATTCAAGGAAACAAGAGGACGCACCCTGCGCGTCATGGCCATTCGTGCAGCAGGAGCCACACTGAAAAACCCAAAATTGCGAAGCAATTAAAAAACACACACACATTGCTGAGAGATCCATAAAAACACAAAACCCTAGAACCCTAAAATTTCAACACGAATTGAATTGAAACAAAACAACAATAGCACTCACTTTCCATGATGTTCGTGCACAATCTGAGCAGCAGATTTCGCCATCACTTCCTGCTTCGGCTTCAAAAGAAGCCCACCAACACCTTCACTCTTCACTCCACCCTCTTGCTTAGGCTTCAAAATAACTCCAGTTTCCTCACTCTTTATCTCCATCTGAAGCGCAGGAGAGACGGGTTCACATTTCGTGACAATAAGGTATCTGAAACACCAAAAGCAAAACACAGATCACGACCTAGCCACAAAAAATGGGTACATGTGATGTGATGGATGCAGCGAAACTAGTTCTTACTTCTCTGACTTAGTGGGTATGTCGTTGAGAGTGTAATCGAGGATGCGAATAAGACCAAGGTTCTGAATATTCCCCGAGAGAACCTCAGAGTTCTTATCCGAAGGAAGAATCGCCCTCAGCTTCTTTTTTCCATCACTAGCAGTGAACCTATTACCAGATCAACAAAAAAAAAAAAAAAAGTTACAGATCTTGAACCCAAACTGAAAACCCTAACAAAAGCTCTGTTTTAGAAAAAAGAAAACGTACATGTATCTGTTACCGCTTTGCTTGAGATCGAGAACTTGGACGACGATGTCCGGAATATCCGATGAAGAATCGGGTGAAGGGTTTGCAAACAAAATTGAAATTGCATCTGGACTCACTGATTTCGCCATTGGAAAGAACCGTTGATGTTATTAGGGATTTTGGTTGAAGAAGATGAAGAAGAAAGGTAAAGGGTTCAGAGAAACTGTGTGAGTGAGAGAGTGTTTTTAATATGTGAGAAAGAGCGGGAATTTCATTTGTTCGCTGTGTCTATGGCGGAACATTTTCACAATGCTTCGAACTTCTGGCGCCATATTTCTTTCAAATAAAATTAAGAATTCAGATAAAAAAAAATTAGAATGAGTTTAAAATCATAAAATAAAAAACGTATACCATGTAAAATTATAAAATATTCATGATTACTAATTTAAAAGAATTTGGATTCATAATATTTAAAATAAAATAAAATATTATTTATTAATAACATTGTAAAATTTAATCACTTTCAAGAAAGTACATTATTTCTGGGCCTTTTTGTTTTTTTGGTAACATAAAGGCCATAGGCCCAACAAAAGGGAAAAAAAAAACACAGGAAATGGTTATTGTGTAATTATTTCTGGGCCTTAATATATAGGTAACGTTGCCCAAAATATGTTGGTTTTGTTTTATTTGTCGTGAATTAACCTGTTTAGCAAATTTATTATGGCATGTGTATTTAAGCTTTTTCTCAACGAAGGAAGAAAAAATTTCTTGTGTCGAGGGCTGCTCAACGAACCATGGGACTTTGATCCGTTTCGTGAAGTCTTACATTTACATATCTAAAATTAGTTGTTAGAATCATGTTTGGATTTATTTAAAAAACTCGTTTAATAAAAAAGTATCATATTCCAATTAAAAAATATAATCTTAGAGCCTCTAGTAACCGATCAAAAGAGGAAAAAAACGTAAATACAAATCTTACTTAAAGACAACCATATTTCCATAACCCATTTAATTTTAAAGTTACTTTAAGGGGAGGCATTTTAATTGACACAACAATAAAATAAGAGTTTAATATTTTTAATATTTCTCATATTGTAGAAGATAAATTTTATTTTTTAAACATATATAAAAATGTATGGGGTTCATATAAGAAGAAAAGAAAAAAATATTGACCCTACACACTTATATATATATATATATATATATATATATATATATATATATATATATATATAGGTTATTGTGCCTACTCTCATTTTATCTACTTTTGTCTACCCTTTTCGTTACCGTTCAATTATCATCTCATCTAACGGTCCATATTTGTGATATAAAATAAATCTTTTTTTTTTTCTCTCTTTCTTCTCACTTACTCCCGTACCCTTTCTCTTTCCTCCTCTTTCTCTCTTCCGCTGCCATATACCTTCTTCTTTTTTCCTTTATCGTTAATCTATGCCCAGATGAACAGCGCGGAAGCATTTGAAATCAATTACCACAGTATTTGAAATCATCGTATGATGGTTCCAGAGAATGCCAACATGGCTAATATGTATCTCCTATAACATGAGAACAATAAACATAGCAACAAATCATACACATAGCAACGGTATGTCGGTATTTTTTTTTATGATTTTCACCAGTTTCACGAGAAGTCATGCCAAAACTATAGTTGATCACTCTCCTTGGAGCCATAGGGCAGTCGATTCATCTTGGATCGAAGAGTTTGTAAAACAATAAGTTTTCACAAATCAAAATTGAAGATACGGAGGCAAAAAATAAAACTAAAAAGTTTAAGGTACATCAACAATTATATATTCTTTCAATTAGAGGTGCAATTATCAGATTTCAAAAATATAATGCGGGACCCGAAAAACAAATAAATAAAATAGGGAAAAATATCTATCATTTTAAAGGATATAAGTTTATATCCTTTTAGATCCTAACCGTTGATTTTCGTCCATCAATGGTTATAATCTATTGGGCCAAACTTAATGGGCCAAATTTATTATTAATTAATTAATAATTTTAATCCAATAAATTATAACCGTTGATGAACGGAAATCAATGGTTAGAATCTAAAAGGATATAAAGTTATATCCTTTAAAAGGATACATATTCCCAATAAAATAACGGATGCAAATGGAATGACTAATTAAGAATATCCGATTTGGCTAGAAAAGATGAATATATGAGATTCATGTAACAATTGGACTCGCAAAGAGTAAGCCAGAGATAGTTATTTTATTTATTTGGTGAAAGTATAACTGAGTGTGTGTCCGTGTATACTTATTTATTCATTTGGTGAAAGTTTCTGGTATGATTTAATTCGTATGAAAAATTACACATACATAAATGGCAGGCAACTTCAAACATGTATAAATATTGACATGAATACATCACCTTATAGCAAAAAACAATTTTCCTAAAGTTATATTTCATTTACACTTGGAAATTAGATTCCTCCTCCTGATTCAATTATCATAATTTTGTGAACTAGTAAACAAGAGATTTTTCAGCTAGCTGACAACATATTCTGTAAACAAGCCAAATCTTGATGTGCACTCCATGGGAGATGACAAGCTTTCTATGGAATACCTGAACAATTACCTCTGTCATTCCTTTTTGTTAATCTGTTAATATTACATTTTGACTAACAACCTATTATACAATGTTAATCACAAATTTGGTCTCTGGTTTCCCAACTAGGATGTACATTGTACAGAGTAAACATGACAAAAAAAAAAAAAATAGATAAACAGTATAATTAAAACTAACTGGCTAAAGCTATTCTGCAATGCAGATGTATAATACAAGCTTGATAAGATGACAGAGATATTATTATATGGTCAAATAGGCTCTGATGTGATGATCACCTAACTTGTCCTAATGACAGAATGTACAGCATGAGAAACAAGATAGCCATCTCTTTGGAGGTGCATTTGTGGTTGAATTTGGGGCTTGATCAACTGCATTTGTTGTTACTTTTTGCTCTGTCTGCTTCTGTTGCTTTTGCTTCTCTCCAGCACCCCTAAGTGAAACACTTTTATCTCCATCTGTCGATCTTCACATTAAAGTATAAAAAAAAATGTTCAACTATTTACTCAAGAAACTTTCCATCAATTAAAGCATTCATCAAGAAGCATCATCACCATCCCTTCACTAATAGTAGATTTGATAGAAAGACTTATTTCTAAGTTCATTATTCATGTATTAATTAACATAGATCCTAAATAGAATAGTAACTTAAACAAGCATGCATTTGTATATATAATAAAAAGGGTAGCTAGTGATCAAAGCTTACTGTTGAAAAGCATAGGATTGAGAGCTCCCATCTGACTGGCGATTAGAATTAGTTCTTTTATTGTCCCTTTCACCTACTTTCTCTGTGGTTCGACTACTTTCCATTATAACCTCTCTCATTGTCTCAGCAGCTTTTGCTTCAGTTTCTTTCGAACCTTGTTCATGTAGTTTAGCAGTTCTTTGGCTGATATCATTGAATTTATTCACTGGGGTTGGGGGCTGATGATATGGTGAAGCATTAGGTGGATCAGGCATGGATGTATCACCAGGCTCATATTTACCAAAGCAAGTAATTTCACTTGAGAAGCTCATATTTCCCATGTAAATGCTGAACAATGATTCATTGGAGTTTGTGCTCCATTCCACTTTTGAGTTTGTATTGTTTCTAGCAAAAACGTGGGATGGAAAAACATACTGGGAAGAGGTATCTGATTCAACTGGACGCTCCATCACCTGCACTGGAGGATTTTGTATTTCTGATCCTTTCCTTGTGCCTAATTCCCTCTTTGAACCAGGTTCAGTTTCAGGTTCAGGTTCAGGTTCAACTGTTGATGAATGTTGTCCTGCCACATCACCAGATTGTCCATGCTTGGGCATTGAACTGATTGGGATATCATCATCACTATGTTCTGCAGTTATATGGGAATCCAATCCCAATTTTGGAGGTGCATTTGTGTCTGTCTGGGACTTATTGTCATCATTTACAGTAACATGGATGTGCTCTTGGCTTGAAGATTCAGAAGCTTCGGAAAATGATGTCCCCAAATTGCTACTAGCCATGTCCTGATGTCCTTGTTCTGTGACTACTTGAAAGGGATTATGTGATTCAACATTTGTGGGGACAGTCTCACATGCAGATGGTTCGTTTTGCCATGAATCAAATTCAACAGGAGCCTTGTTGTTTGTATTTGTAAGCTCATGGAATGGATTTCCTGGTGATGACACATATGTAGATGGTGCAAATGATGAATTGAGGCCTAACAAATCATCAGTTGAAGAACGATGTGTTTCATCTTGAGAGCCAACAGGATATGTGCTTGAACTACCATTATTCATGCCCCCAATATCAGTGTTGTTGGTTGAATCACTCGGATCATTATCCATGCCCCCATTACCTATGTTGTTGGTTGCATCACTAGGATGTAGGAAGGGGTTTTGGGATGATGATGAAGAAGAAGAAGGGGGGACTAGGTTGTTGTCCAATGCAGAAGGTTGAACTTCCAAATGGCTATTAATATTATCTGTGCTTACATGTTCTTCTTCTGTCAATGGAGATTTCTGATGCAATTCCTGTTCACCTATATTTGTGGCAGGACCAGTTCCCAAACCAGCACTAGATCGGTTATCACCTCCAGTTTCCATCAGCCAACAACGTCAAGTGATACAATGTCCAGAGATTCTAATGGAAATTTTGATAAGCTGTAAAACCAGAATCTAAAATTAAAACTCACTTCTTAAAACATCATAATCACAATAAAGTGTTTTTTTTTTTTTTTTTTTTTTTTTATGATGCAAAAATCTAAAGAAACAACAAAATTGCATCTGCATATACGTTATATAAAGAAGTGCACAAATTTTAAAATTTTCATTCTCTTTAAAAAAACAGGCATAATTGTGAGATCAATAGAATCTGAATAAAATCACAATGTCAAGACAATCTGGTTTATAAAACATGAAAATTCAACATAGCAATTGGTCTATAAAACATCCAAAACGAAAGAGAGAAAAAAATACTCAAGATTCTATGCCTCATCATGATATATATATTTATTTATACAAAGGGAAAATCTCCTAGGCAAATGAATACTACAAAATGATTGAAACTTTATGGACATAATGGCAAAACAAACAAACCCCATCTTCATGCAGAAAGTAAAATTACAAAAGAAAATACATTCCAAAAACAAAAACAAAAACTCAATTCAAAACGTGCTGAAAAATGAGAATTTTACATTAAAAACACCAATGTGCCCGAAGATCCAAAGAGACTGCCGAATCAACTAAGCCAGATATGGCCAAGAAATCAGCAGTCCCATTCCCTCTACGGACTAACAAAGATGAAGCGTGTCAAGAAAATAAGGCGAAAGTTAAATTGAAGAACATGACAGATGGAGAGAGAGAGAAAGTGATGAATTGGAACAAGAAAGAAAGAAAAAAGGATAAATAAAACAGATGGTGTTGCACAAGTTTAGGCGTTTTCTTCTAAGTAACAAATTTCAGATGACATTATGCCAACTATTAACCTCTTCATATTGCGTTGTAACATGAATGACGTGGCTTCCTTATTTGATCTTCTGATAAGGACAAATCTAGTTAGCAGTTTTTCTAGTTATCAAAATGTACAACTCAGGTTTCTCCTTCTCAGCATAAATCACTCAAAAGTTTCTATATAAGTCAAAAAATAAGGGTGGCAAAACATTACGCCTGAAACAAACTTAATCGTCCAGTGATTTGTTAATGTTATATCGTTATTCATCCATGAACCATCCTTTCAGCAATTGTGCAAAATTTTTACTTTAATGCGCATAAAGCTTACAATTTCATTTTTTTATTCATGGCTCTAGCAAAAAAAATAAAAAATTGTGTCTTCATATATCATGCGTCATAAAGATATAGTAATTGTCAATTTAGCGTGGACCAAAGAAGATGTTTTAAAATATTATGTATAAAATCCAAGCCTTCCAACTAAACTAATTTAGAATTGATTTTCTTATGTTAAATTTTTACACGATTTTGTTGTATGAAGGTTTTTTTATTTATCTCTCTTTTCATATACATTTACAAATTTTAATAGGACCTCACTTATTTAATATGAGAGATATAAAATTTTCACATTAAGTTGTTGTCATGTGAAATTCCTAACATTCATTCTTCAACCAACACGATGATGCCTAAGTACCATATCGATTAATCAATTAATACATGTTAAATTACCTTGTCTTGCCCCGGGGAGTCTTCTGAGTATTTAAAAGTTGTTGATGAAATCTGAACACTGACCCAAAGTTTGCAAAGCTTGTCCATGAATGAAAATTGTAGACACAAGGAAATATATATATATATATATATTTTATTTTATTTTTTAATTTTTTTTTTGGAGATATTAACTCTACATAATTCTACACCTCACTATGTTGAGGCTTGAGAGGAGTCCACATTCTTGTTTAGCACAAGAAATGCTTAAAGCCTGAGTATTCCTTTCCATTCTAATAGAGTCAATATGGTGCGTGATGACCCATTTGTCCTCGGTCTTGGAAATAGAAAAAAAAAATATTCCGTTGCCGGGACTTGAACCCGGGTCTCTCGGGTGAGAGCCGAGTATCCTAACCACCTAGACTACAACGGAGGTTAAATACCAAGATACACTATTTTTTATTTGATGAGAAGTTTTTTGTGATGAAACATTAAAGTTTAGGATGGCCCCCCTTGTCTTCATTCTTCTTTATCAACATTACCCTTTGTGGAATGCCGATATCATCTACGCAATACAAACACCGTGTAGATTATTAAAAACAAAAAATCAAATAAATGAACAAAATTACCTACAATTTGACAAAGGAAAATCACAATAACATTTCTATCAAATATTAAAAAAGCCATCTCTTAGTTTTGAAATTATAAGAAGTTTTCTTATTATTTATTAATATGTTTTATATTTAGATGCACGTGAAATTTAAACAAGCTAACTTATATTCCCCAAAAGTATTTTAAAATCCCTAGTTCATTATTCTTATAAATATTTTTTTAAATGTAAACAGTGTAACATTTTTGGTTATTTAACGTTAACAAACAAAAATTAAGTGCAATAGTCGTACAAAAAATCTAAACACAGATAAAATTTATCTTATTTGAACAAAAAATTAACTATACCCAGCTACAGGAAAAATTTCTGATACAATGTATCCTAATCATAGTAAAAAGAAGAAGATTTCTGTAATATTCTTAAAATATAGGACCCCTTTACATTTACTATTACCCATGCTCCAAATCACTTTATATGAGGTCTGTATTCAAAAGAGTTGAGTACTTGACAGTTGTTCATTAAGAAAGTTCAATACATCAATATATAGACATAATCAGAATCCAATCAAATTTTATTTTATATATTCAAGCCAATATCTTACCATATGTCTAAAAAATATTTATGAGTAGTCAGCGTTTTGGAGTAAATACTAATAGCACTACCCAGATTGAAACAGACTTTTTCATAGCAATAAGATTTTTGATTTGACTCTTCTATGCAAGGCAACTCGTGTCCCATACTTTAGGGGCTGCATGTTGAACAATGAAGAAGGCACACATTCTTTAAGTTTATTGGCCTAAGACAGAAGGCTGAGAAGATGGTGACAGTGACATTCAATAGAAGAGGTCATACAATTTCATACATCTGCTATTAATAGCAGAGAGGCCGTGGATATACGTCAATGCATATGGCGATGCAAATTAAGGTAGCATTTGAAGGTTTATTTTGGGATTGATGGGAAAATGTAGGTGGATATTGGAAAATACCATGTTTGGTTCAGGTTTTTTCAAGAAATACCAGGCAAATAGGATAGATGAGAAAATGAATTTTGTGTTGATTTTTGGATGAAATTCACTGTTACAAAATACCACTTGAGATGTGGTATTTTGAGATGACTGGAGAAGTGAAAAAACAGGTGCAAAGTTTCTCCCGAACATAGATTTTGCATATTTAAATAAATTTCTCTGGTAATATTTGAGTCAACCAAACAACTTTTTTTACATTTTCCTATCAAACTCACTTTCTAATTATTTTCTTATCAATTACATTTCCCTAGTAAAAAAAAATTTCTTCCGAACCAAACACTCATTTGATTCCTTCGTACAATGCACTAATTCTCTCCTAATTCTCATTTGCCACTGTTTACATCCATATCACAGATCTCCCCAAACTTAAACTCTTCAACTCTTCAACTCTTACAACTCTAAACTACACTATTCTGTTACAATCTGAACGCAGAAACCCTACCAGTTTCCTCATTTTAGCTCATTGAGCCTAATCCTGGCCACTTAAATTCCTTAAGTAGTTGCTGCTCTGAAAGTTTAGTAACACATTTTTTAATTACTACCCTTTTGGCCTTCCAAACCTCAATCTATAACCCTATATCCATTCTCTTCAAGTAGGCGCTCTCCTCATATATAATAAGCAGCTTCTTATATAATTAGTGAAATCATACTTCAAGGGTGCAGATTGTGCGCCTGATATTAAAAAAGTATCTACATACGAGACAAGACACATTCATTTCACAGCATGAAATTTCCGTAATTTGAAAAGAATGTTTTGGAGTAGATCTACAAACATGCGGAAACGAGAGAGAAAACAATATAATAGTAGAACAGTTTCAGTGAAAAGTACAACAAAAAGTAAAGTGAATTCGGTAATATGCATACCGATAAATGAAGTAGCAATCAGAACCTGAATGAAAGAAAAAGCTCACCAGAAACTCAAACTTAAACCCCCTAAACAAACTTAAACTCCAACGGAACCTGTAAATGAGTATCAACCACGTAGCTTCCAAGTAATGATGGTTGTGAACTTGTGAGACTCAAAGTTGTGGTTTTTCCACCCTAATTTCTCTCTTTGTTGGATCATATCTCAGTTCCTACATGTTAATCCTTCAAAACTAGGAAATTCAATTAAAAACCTGCTTTTGGAACCTGCTGATTCAAGTTGATAAATCCACGTATTAAGAAATATCATATGCTTTCCTTTTTCATACAAGAATAAAACATTTAATGATTCAAAGGGCTACTTAGCTCCATCCCATTTTGCACTGTAGCCATGCAATATCCCATGTTTTCTAAATCAATTACTAACTACTAGCTCTGACTAGCTGCCATTATATACATATCTGTAAGTTCATTTTATTTTATTTTTGGTAAGTAAGAGATTTATTGAATTTCCTACTTATCTACCAAATTATAGTTATTTCGACAAAAAATCATGATTTAAGAATTTCGATTGAGTGATTGATATGTTATGTTTCACGGTCAGCTGGTCAAGCAATGATATGTCTTTCGACCATTTGCTATAAATTGATTTCAATAGCTAAAGCCAATATATTTTGGATCTTTTGACATCCCTACTTTAAAGAACAGGAATGGAGTTCAGATCAACACGTTAGGTATTTTCTAGCCACCAAACAGAAAAGAAAGAGTTGCTGAACAAATAGTTTATTAAAAGGCATCAAAAGTGAACTGCTGAGCATAGCTCGACTGGTATCTCACCTGGTCTTAACCTGGGACCATGGTTATGTGGTAGGGGGTTTGATCCATCACATCTCCATTTCACTTCACCCTTAGGTTCTTAGGATCTCCTTAGAACCAAAAATGAAGGCATCAAAAGTGAAGTACTATAAATAGAAAGAAAGGATACAGTTCTTGAAAGCCCTACAACGAAAGACGGGACATTAAGCCCAGACTTTCAACTAATATACATAGTCATGGAATATGTTTTGTAGCCAAGTACCAAATTCAAGCAATATTATTCCCAACCTTAGAACATCAAGAGATTTAAGGAACATTGTACTACAAATATTTCAAGTAATAGCCTGGTCAAGAAATAAAACAACACACCCAGTGCTATTGACACAGGAAGAGCAGGCAAAGCTTTCTGATATAAAGCCAAAAGCATCAAAGTTATGCCCAGGCCAGCAATGATCGCAAGATAACAAGCATACACTGTCATATAATCATACATTGCTGCCCTGCCAACCAAAACACTATAGAAGATAAAATCACCGAGCCCTAACTTGATTGCGCCAGATGAACCCAATCCAATTCCCTCTAGCATCAAATTTTCATTTGACATGGCATGTTCTGCTCCATGGGGCTGAACATTCATTCCGTGATTAATCAAGGGAGCAGAAAGGCCTGAATCAGTTTCTTGAACCAGTCCCTCTTCAACTCTTACCAAATTTCTGTCACTATAGGTGCCATTAGAAGTACTAGAATTCAAATTTGAGTTTGAAGAAGCATTTTCCCTAACCAAATTCGTGTCATCCGGGTTGTTGCTGATCGGATTTGAACTCGAAACATTGTTTGCATCAGAATTGGAATGTGAATCAGCATTGAGGCCTTGACCCAACACAGAGTTGGCATTCACATCCGAATCAGTTAAAAGATTTGAATTCTCAATCCTCCTATCTCTCCACACACGCCCCTGAGTTATAACAGCATCACTTGGATCCAAATTACCATGGTTCACTGGCCTAGCCTCATAAACCAATGCAGGAATTTCTTCATCTCTTGATATTGCAAGCTCCACCAAAAGCCTCAACGGCCCAATAGGCAACAAAACAGCAGCAAGATCATACAACGCCATAGTAACAAGCATGGCCCACGTGGTCCACTCAGGCAACATAGTAAACCAATAAGCAACCAATATTCCAATAATAACCAAGTACCCTTGGGTCACAAGAATTGCCATTTTTGACATAAACACGGCCAAAACACCGACAACAGCAAAATTACACAAAACCAGAAAAAACGTTATGCAATCAACGGGGGTACTAAAATGCTGAATCAAGAACAATGATATTTCACCACCAAGGAATCCCAAGACAACAAAAGCAGAGAAAGCCATGTAGAGTTTCAAGAACCTGGTGCATCTGAAATAGAATAGAAGGACCAAAACGAAGGTTGCAACAGTGACAACAACTACGAAAGCCAAGGAGTTCAAAAGGGCACCTAGGAATTTGTCCCAGGAAGAGTCAGAGGTTGTCTCGGTGTATGCTATGGTTGCCACTGATGCTTCGAGGGAATAGTTGGTATCGAGAGTTGAGACCAAGATTACAACAAGGAACATGCAAATTGAAACAGGTGCCACGATTTTAACAATTTCAACCCCCAAAGAGTCAATAACGCTTGAAGAGGATCTTTCGATTTGTGTTTGTGTTTGTGCCATTAGAAATTGGAAATTGAGAGTGAGATCACAGTCAAAGATCGAAAGATGAATGTTATCGTTATCGATGCTACCTTGCTTGCCACTTCCTTTCTCCCATTTATTGGGCCGGGCCGAAACATGGGCTTAGGCCCGTTTATATTGAAAGGGCCCATTTTTTCTCTTAAATCTACATAAACCCTTTCCCTTCCCCGTAAAAGGAAAAAAAAAATATCTTGGTTAGGGTTTTTGGATTTCTCACTAGCTCAAAAGAGAACACAGGTATTCGCTGAATTCTCATGCTTCTCTTCATTTCTGTTTCATCTCACTGTTTCCTTTTATTTTATTTCCGATTCGATTTATTTATTTAATTTTTCATTTAGATCGATATATTGCTTCCTTCAACAACAAATTGATCCCGGTACCATATGTTATGTGCTATTCTTTTGCGTTTTCAGTCTTTGTCGGAGATCAAAAGATCTCTCTCTTTTCGTGCTCGGATAAGAGATAGGAGAGTTCGACACTTGGATTCGTTTTGAAATTAGTGTTATTGGCAGCTAAATCTGAATATTTACTGTCTTGAGTGATGATGAAGTTTAAAACGTAGCTTCCTTTAGAATTTCTGTTCTTGTTTGGAACAAAAACAAAAAAATGATTGTAAATTTTTTTATATAGATCACTCACGTCTCCTTCAGGTTTGTGTTGACAATCGCATTTTCTGATGTTTGGGGTATTGGTTAATTTTTTAAATTGTGTTTTGAATGATATGCTGTAGAGAATATATAACAATTAACGTTTATGGTTTCCTTCGGGTTACAGCAATGGCTTTCTTTGGTAGACTTGGGAATATACTAAGAAATGCAGCAAATAGGCGGATTAGTCCAGAGTTACGTTCATCCCCATCTGTTTTCCAGGCTATACGCTGTATGTGCTCTGCTCCAAGTTCAAAGCTGTTTATAGGAGGTGCGTTTGAACTACGTTATAAGTTGAATGATTTTTATGGTTTTTCTTCTTTACATGTTTGATAATAACGATTTGTATGAATATATAACATTTGTCTGTGGCAGGTGTTTCATATTCTACTGATGAGCAGAGTTTGAGGGAAGCTTTTTCAAAATATGGTGAAGTTGTTGATGGTAAATAGTTAGATTCTCTGCTTTCTTTTGTCATCTATAACGTGTTTTATCTTGGGGGTAACCAATGAAATTCTTTTGAAATCTTTTCTTTTTCATAGTTTATTTTCAACTCAGTAATAATTTCTTTTTTAATGTCATGTTCTTTGTATAGCAAGGATAATTATGGATAGAGAAAGTGGGAGATCCAGAGGATTTGGCTTTATTACTTACAATTCAGTTGAGGAGGCTGCAAGTGCCATTCAAGCCTTGGATGGTCAGGTAACACGGACTTCTTGTTCTTAGTATTATAATTTTGTGAATATCATTGGTTGTGGTTGCTGCAGAATGATCACATCTATTTGCTGAAGCTACATATGCAAGCCATTGAATTTGTGGGATATGCATGCTGTATATGCGATGCAAATTTTGTTTACTTAGCAGTCTGTATTTTGTGTTTTATTTTGTTGAGAGTTTGAAAAAATATTGCTGTTTTGTCCTTTTTCCTTTGCAAAGTTTTAAATTTGAATATTTGTGGCGTGGTGGCCTTATGCGGTCCTCAATCGCAGGGTGATGATGTTGTCGTGGCTGCATCAGGTGATGCAGACCAATATTTAAATCCTTTGTTTTTAGAAATGCAGTGGTTATTTATTAGGTACAGATACCAATCAGCATTATTTGAGCATGTGTAGATTTCGGATGATGTCTGTCGGGACTGTTTTGGTTGTCACTTTTGTCTTCTGGAATCATTTCATCATGACCTCACCTGCTAACTGTTCTTACAATGTCAAATTTTAGCATGGTCCTGATGAAAGTAATACCAAAACAGTGGCCCTTTATTGTTTTCAAATGAAGGGAAGATATTTTTATTAATCATTAGAAAACCCATAGGAAGAGAGAACTGTTATCCTGGCTGTTATTTGTTTTCCTTCACTTGATAGAGGCATGTGCAATTTAAAGACTGCAGGAGTATCTAGTTAAGTGCCAGGCACTTAAAACACATCTACCTAATTATATTTTATTGGGGTAAACTGGTAAATTTTCAGCAACTTATCTGTGATTTATGCAAGTGTACTCTTTTCCTGGCGATGCTTACTATCTTAAAGTTTTATATTTTTAAATCCTCTATTAGCCTAAATTATTATTATTATTATTTTGAAAAGTTAATGACTAGCGATATTGTATCACTGCCACTTAATGCTTCACCGTTTCTCCATGACATTTTCAGGATCTTCATGGTCGCCGGGTTAGGGTAAATTATGCTAATGATAGACCTCGTGGATATGGAGGCGGTTTTGGTGGTTCTTATGGCAACACACAATATGGTGCTGGAGCTGGTGCTGGCTATGCAGGTGCTTATGGTAGCTCTCCATATGGTGGTGGTGGTGGTGGTGGCGGCGGCGGCTATGGTGGGAATGTTGGTGGAGGTTATGGTGGTGGTGGATATGGTGGAGGTGGCTATGGATCAGGTGGCAATTATGGGGGCAGTGGCTCTGCCAATGACTATGCTGCTGACAGTGCTGGTGGGAGTGGAATGAATTATGGGAATGATGGTAAGTTTGCAAGTGGAAACACTTACACCGATGGAAGTAGTGGAGGCTATGGTGGTAACGGTGGGAATTTTGGTGATGCTGGTGGTGTAGGCAAATATGAAAGCTCTGCTGGTTTCCCTAGCAGTGATAATTATGGCAGTGCTGGTGGGGGTGGCAGCTATGGTTTTCCTAGTAGTGGACATGATGGAAGTTCTGTGGATGGCAGTGGTGGTACAGGTACTGGTGGATATGATGGAAGTGCAGGATCGGAATATGCCAGCAGCGGCCAATTTGATACCAAAGAAAGCAGCAATGTGGATGAGGATTTGGGAGGTTTTGGTGACTCGTTGGAAGGAAATTACAAGGACGACGATGATGATACTGATAATTTTGCCAAAAGGGCTTGAGGAAGCTTGTAGCAATAGCTCTTAGTTTTCTATTGCCCGTGTGCTCTGTAGCCTATCCCTTCCTAAATCTCTGTGGACTTCAACCTGATGCGCATTTCTATCATGTTATGTTGGTCAGCAATACATGACTGGAAAGAAAGTAATGTCATTTCATCATAAGTGTCATTCTATTTAAGTGTCGTTCTATTTAAGTGTCATTCTTTCCTACTCTCCTTAAGAGGCGGGCATCTCAATTTTGTGGCTTTGAGGTGATTTAGTATATTGACCAAATTGAGATCTTTATACAGCATGTAAATCAGTGACTTGTTGCAACAATAATCTAAGACTGATGTTGGAATTTACGATGAGTCCTCCATTTTTAGTAATTTACATCTGTGCGAAATTTTATTTTCGAACTGTGATTTATACCTTCCCATAAAAAAAAATTGTGGCAGAGGGTGTGAATCGCTTTTTTAATTATGATAGGATTTATTTGTTTAAAATAGTTAACTCTGCAAGTCAATTCGGTTAAACTTCTAGGTCCTAGCTCGAGGTTCACATCAAGAAACTAAAAATCATAAGTCTAGTTGATTTGGGCGTTGTTATCTTCTGCTTTCCAATTACTAATCTTAAACTCTGGTCTTTCTAACGGGAGAGTAGAAAGGATAAATTGTCACCGTGCTAGAAGAGAGTTCCTTTGACATTGTCTCTTAATTGTCACCATGCTCCACCATATTGAACCCCCGAATAAACGTTAATTATGTAAATGTGAGTGCTCATCATCAATGATGCCCGATTGTGAACTTTCTTCAGAGCATGTAGATTAGTTCTTCATTAGCCTCATACTTAAAGCTTCACCGTCACCGAGTAAATTCATAACTATTGGCTGGGGCATAGGATCCCAGTCGTCCTAAACCTACCGATTTACTATAGTAAAGGGAAATCTTTCTGGGAACAACCCTCATGCTCTTTATTATATGCAATTACGTGCATATCTACGAAACATGATTTTAGTATCACTGTGTATCTTTAAAGTCAATCATATGAGGTTTTTAACTTGCTGTCATTGTTATATTGCTGTTTTTGTAATTTACAGTTTGATACTGTTGCAAATGTTCCAGACAGTGGCTAATATAGTTAGGATTTTTTTTTATTTTTTATTTTTTATTTTTAAATACTGTCACAATTGGTTTAATGCGTACTCAAAGTATAATAATTAAAATGAATTCACTAATAAATTGTTGTAATATCTTTGTATTTTTTAATTATATTCTTTTTTCTTTTTCTTTTTTGTAAATAATTATATTCTTTTTAGGGTTAAGATGATGGGGATTAGGGGTGCTAAACGAGCCAGGGACCTTTAGCTCGGCTCGGGAAGGCTTGAGTTTACATGTCTAAAATTGATTGTTGGACCCAGGCTTGGACTTGTATAAAAGCTCGTTTAATAAAAAGGCATCAGGCTCCAATTCAAAAGCTCGGCCTTAGAGCCTCTCAGGCTTGCCTAATATATATTTTTTATATTTTATATACTACTTGTGATAGCTCTCTCTCTCTTCTCAATTCATTTCATCACATTTTATTAATTAAACAGACTTTTTGAATGATTTTATTTTATATTATGCTATTTGGATATACATTAAATTTATGAATATTTATGGAATTACTAGTGCTGTTGATTGTAGATTTTGTTTGGATAAATTTTTGTTGTCTTATTATTTTAAAGCAGGCTAACAGGCTAAACCAGGCTTTTATTTTTTATAAATAAGCCAGTTCACAGGCTGATATTATATTCGTAACAGGTAACAGGCTAAGGTCAGTCTGACACATTTGAACACAAGCTCGACCCGTTAAGATCAAAGCTCGGCTCGGCTCAGTTCGGCTCGTTAACACCCCTAATGGGGATGGAGAAAGGAATGCCGGTGCCCCCACCGAAAATCAACTAAAATTTACCAAACAATGCTACCGCCACTAAAGTTAGACCTAGTGCGCATAAACTAAAATTAGAGCCTATTTGAGAAACAAACGCTACATACACACTATTCACAGTAGAAAAAAAAAAATCCATACTAATAGTTATCACAAGCATGCTTCAATGCAATTCGACTAATCCGTCTAATAGGCTACAAAAAAAGTTTTCACTGGTCCTGAGTTTTAAGGCAGTGAACTCTAAAGCATGCAAAGAGAGCTATGCTGATCATCACACGGAATAGGATGCAAAAATAAGGTCAAGGGAAGCTTTGTTGTATTAATGAGTACTATGTGTACCCCAAGAGAAAAAAAAGAAATGTACTCCCCTCTTCTATTTATACACACCTAAAAAGTATCTGATGTCAATGTTCACCTTCATCCATAGAATTCAATATCCTTCGTGCATTTTTGAAAACAGGAGAACCTTTCTTGGTCCTTTCAACAATTTGTCTTATTAATTGCCTTTCTACTTCATAATCACAGTCACAATTTTCATCTCCAGGAACATCATTTATTTCATGAATACTGGAGCTTTGCCCTTCCAACATTGTGACCTCGCCAGAAGAGAGTTCCCTTAATAGTCTCTCTCCATTAACAGTGGAATAAGTTAGGGGACCATTTGTTCCACAATGTTGAACCCCTAATACATGCCAATCATGTGAACAAGAACATACTTTGTGATCAGGACTATGGATGCCTGATGGTGAGTTTTCTTCCAAGTCGGGTATCCTTATTAATTCTTCACAGGCATCATTGTGTGCACCTAGAGCTTCACCTGATAAATTCATAACTTGGGTATCGGCTATAGGGTCACTATAGATAATATCAACTTCACCTTTATCCCAAACTAGTTGGGGTCGGCAAATCAGGTCACAACCATCATAAGTCAATATATTTCCTTTAGTAAAGGAGGATGGAAAGTACTTTTGGGAACAACCTTCATGTTCTGATTCCATAAACCGTACTTTCCTCTGGCTATTTTGGAGGGCAATCTCAAGCTCATTAACACGTTCCTCAAGTCTGGATTGGATAACTTCATGCAAACGCAGACTTAGTTCATGAGCCGAAACAGCATAGTTTGCAGGGAAACTCATATTGTCCCCAGCATCGTCATTTAATTTTGGATGAACAAAATCTTTCCCATTGATCATGTCAGTTTGCAACTCACCTTGAGCAAAATCTGCTACGAAGTCTGGGTCAAGCTGCAAGAAATTTTTTGCAACATTAGCACACCATGGACCCATGTTAAGCACTGTTAACTTGAACCCAAATGTCACGGAGAAAAACATAAAGTGGTAAATTTACACTGAAACACAGGAGAACAAAATAGAGAAAAAAGCACAAAAACTTGGGAAGTACACTATACCCACAAATTTGAGCTAGCCTTATTCCTAAAGAATTCAAAGAGATTATCCAACTGAAAAATAAAAAAAATTCTATAATAAAGTCAATAAACACTCACTCTGTCCCAATTTCAATTTTCTTTCAATTCTTTATGCAAACTAGGGTAGACTTAAGTTTGTCGTCCAAGCCATAACACCAACATTTTTTTTTCCCACCAATGCAAGTTTTTGCTAGGAAGTAGGAGCTTTCAGTCAGTGTTTGCAATTCCAATTTCAACTATAACAAAATCAATCATATGAAAGAGAAACCCATGCTGCAGCATAAAAATAATGCAGCAGATCTTCAAGTAACAAATGCATTTAGCTACCCTAACTTCTAAATATTCAGAGACTTAACTTAGATGACTTTGACTTGCCACTTCACATGTAAATTTGTTTTGCATGCTCAACATATTATAACAGATGTCTGACTAATTTGTTGAATTGTTCTTTCATCTTTGTTCATCAATAAACAAAACTTCTCTTCCATTCCCCATTTTTCCTTCATTTTTCCTTTTCCATTTTGCAAGTACCAAGCCTTACAAAATCCAGAGCCATAACAAATAGTATTAAACTATTTCTCTAAAATTTCTTGGGTTTTAATTTTTCTTTCTTTCTATATATATATATATATATTTGGTGGGAAATAAGCACATGGTATAGGAGGTTATCAGAACCATAAGATCCTTTAAGTTCACGAAAGGAACATTATATTTGACAATATGCATCCAAGAATGTATCCACAGTCTGGCGCCCAATATGCATCCAAGATATTTTCACATAAGCAAAGCTACTTAAAATTTGAAAAGATAACAAAAGCAATTTGCCATATTAAGATAACTAAACATAAGTGTATAAGAAATGGTTTAAAGAAAGTGACATAAAACAGATCAAATAGAGGAAGAGTGATACGACACCAGTGGTAAAAGAGTATTGTAGGAAGCATAATAGGAGATCCCACCTCTCAATGCTGACTTAGCAAAATGGTTAGTTAGTATAGAATATTCTAGAAGTGGGTATGGATAATAGATAGAGAGGAAAGAAATGGAGAAGGAGGCAATTATTTGGGATTGAGTTAGGAACTTGGGAGAGAAGGGGTAATTTACCTTCTTGATTTCTTGCTATTTTTTGTAATCTTTCTATTTTTATTGGCTACTGTCATTATTGTTTGTAATTTTCCTTTATACTTTTAATATACAAAATCTGGTTTATCTAGGAATTACTCTGTATCCCTTTCATTTTTTGTTTCTGAGTTGAAGATCCTATCAAAGAGCTATTATGAGGCATTTGTCTTTCATGACACAGGTCTAGATTACATGCATTGTAGAAGTGAAAACAGGGAGGAATATAGTAATATTATATCTCTTCAGAGTTCACACACATAAATAAGAAAGAGCTATTTTAACTCAATTCTCTGTCACATACTCACATCTATCAGGCATGGGAACTCAATTAGGGTCCTCATAAATAAAAAGCTAAATAGTAAAGCACATCACAACAGAGATATTCCAAGACATTGGTATGTGCCTATAGGATCATGTCATTACTAGGAAATGGACAGATAAACATTTATGCTTACCTCTAAAAGCTCAGACAGTGTTCTTTCTTGACTAGATTCATTCATGTTTAAACCCAATCTCTCAAGTTCAGCTTCAAGCTCAGCTTCAATTTTGCTCATAGCGTCTGAACTTTCCTCTTCCTTCTGATCATATGATTTTTTGCAGTCAATTATTGGAGAATTATCCATGTGCTGTTCAGCATAAAATCCATTTAGCTCCTTATCACAGAAAGAATGATCACACGTATCCTGTGAACCATAATTTTCACTGTGTAACTCCTTCACTGTCATTGAATCTTTAATTTCAAGTTCCTCATGTAGATCTTGAACCAAGTTTTCAGTCTGCTTCAACAACTTTCTTAACTTATCCATTTCTCTTTTATTTGCCAAGATGGAAGTTATTATCCCAAAAGAAATGCCGAGACTGAAGAGAAATGTTGCATCTGATGATTATGCACGTGTCAAAAAGAGTAGTTATTAAAGCAACACACCATACAAGAAATCAATTACCAGAGAATGAATATCAACTTATGAAATAAATAGCAACACACATCATTTAAAGGCCAATATTTGAAGTTACCTATAGTCCTATACCGTTTATTTGTTAGGGTTATAAAACTAGCTGTGACCAACATGTTAAGACCAGAGAATAAAACCCTTTTCTAATTGATGCTGGGAATGCCATTTTAGGACCTGAAGCAATTTATTTCCTCCTCTGCACCAAAACAACATCCATTTGTAAAGGAATAATGAGATTGACCAATTGTACAAGATGTCGATTCTCAGGAAAATTTGGTTTTTGAATAGTGAAACTAAGATTCTATAATATCCTTCCAATATGTAAGGAGTATAGACCAGTTCAAAACCCATTTGATTTCCAAATAACTGATAATATGAGTCTCATTCTCTGAGACTAGTGAATTGTACATAAACATAAACCTGAGAGTGAAAATGAAACAAGATTCCTTCACAAGAGACCGCAACTAACCAGAGAATGCACAGGAATCCCAAAAAAATTGATATCACGATGAGCAGACTGATAAATTTCCTCAAGAGCAAACAAGTGTATTACTCCCAAGACAAAACAAAAGCATTTCTAAATGTAGGCATAAAAGAATGTACAGAAAACAAATATGTGCAAAGCAGCAAAAGCTACAAAGGTGTTTGTAAATCAAGAACCATACCATGTTGAGTATGGATGCGACTTCCACTGAACACATCATTGGAAGAGCTCAATCTCCCACTTTGTTCATTGCCTGCATTGGATTTCATCTTCTTGGCATCATTAAATGATTCTGTTTTCGGTAAGTAAGGAACTCCAAATAATAGATTTTCATCTTTAACTTGACCGACTTCTCTATGCAACTTATTTTCTTCACTTCCAGTATTATCCTCATCATTTGTTGTGCTGATTATTTGGCTTCTATCACTAACAAGAAATGACCTTGTAGCCGTGGGTAGTGATGAGAGGGAACTAAAGACGCGTTCTTCCATTTTGACATGTTGTTTGCAAAGCTGAGCCATTAGACAACTTTCTAAGGAGTTTAAAGGCCTACTAATATGGCCATACAAATGCTTAGTCCTGAGAGAGGTTTTGTTTCCAGAATGCTTATGAACAGAACCCACTTCTCCTGCAGACAAATCAGGAAGCAGGAAACCACAATTGCCACCAATATTGGTGCTTTGCACATTTCCATCATTAAAGTTTGATGCAGAAAGGACATCATCACTCTCATTGCAATTCCTGAAGCTTCTTAATTTTTCACTACCAAGCCCTTTGTTATAAGCCAATTCTATTGTCAAAAAACCATCAGGTGAATTCACATCTAAAGCCCTACTATCTAAACAAACATCGTTGCCCAATTCATCTCTCTGTGCTTGTTTGCAAAATGGATGGCTTAGGGACTCAGGATTCTCAAAATTGAAATCCTCTAAAGAAAAATGAGATGAGCCATCACCATTCTTTGAAAACCTGTTCCAATATTTAGCTAAGTACCAAGCTCCAGCAACGGCTGCAACAACCCACAAATCCATTTTGGCTCCCCCTTCCACACACACACACAAAGCCACTACCCAAACTCCACAAAACAGATAAACCCCTTTACCTCCATTACCAGCAACAAACATGAAAGGGACAAACTTTCCATCAATTTAGGCTAAAAAAATGGTAGGAGAGCTAGCTGGAAACCACTTCCAGGAAAATAAAACCACAATCCCTGATTCACTAACTAAACATATATTCTTCTCCCAACTCTCAGTAATATTATCATCAATCAAGAATCCAATCCTTCAATATAATTATAGGAGACTATTCCCCAAGTGGATGGACGGAGGATTCAACAACCAGAAATAATAATAATAATAATAATAATAATAATAATAATAGGGAAAAAAGAGTGAAAAAAAAAAACTTCAGTTTTGAAACCAAAATCTATGACTATGACACACAACCAACGACCAACAACTTTTGCAACCTGCACCGAAGGTTTGATTCCCACAAAAAAAAGAATGACACGCGCTACTTACGTTACACTACAACACTGTTATAAATAATTTCTCATAAAAAAAATTGTGATAAGAGAAAAAGGAAAAAAAATTTGCAAATCGAGAAAAAAATAAATGAGATATTTCGAAGTGGCTCTGAAAGTAAATAAGCTGCGGGGGTTGGCGAGTCTATTTCTTTGGTACAATCGAAGTTTGGGGAGAAGATCCAAGGACCATGAATAAATTCATTACTATCATTGAACAATCCAATCCAACTATACATACTTCATCCAATGAACGTATGCTGCTTTTGGCAGAGTATATATATTTTTTAATTAGATAAATGCAATTATTAGGAAAATAAATTTGGAAGGAAAGTTAAAAAAATTTGTTTGGTTGAAAAAAAATTTACCAGAAAAATTGAGTTAAATTTTATGAATCTTTATCAATTTTTTTCCACTTGCCCACTTATATGCAAATATCACGTTGAGATTGGACAACTTCAATAGTGTGTTTCTTGTGTTTGGTAGAGCAGATATTTTATTTACCAGGTAAAAGCAATTATCAGGAAAATGAGTTTGGTAGGAAAGCTAAACAAAAAGTTGTTTGGTTGGTAAAAATTTTACAAGAAAAAATTGAGTTAAATTTTGTGAATCTTTGTCAACTTTTTTCCACTTACCCAATTATATACAAATACCACGTTGAGATTGGACAACTTCAACAATGTGTTTCTTCTATTTTTGCATTTGATTCTGAATTGGTGGACAAATGACTTTGGTGGGTAGGTTTTTATATCTTCTCTACCAAACAAATACATCATCGATTGCCAAACTCAAATGCATGGGGATCTCAACAAAAAACTTGAACCAAACACTACCCTATTTTTGCATTTGATTCTGAATTGCTGGACAAATAACTTTGGCATGTAAGTTTTTATATCTCCTCTACCAAACAAAGACATCATCCATTGCCAAAGTCAAATGCATGGGGGATCTCAACAAAAAACTTGAACCAAACACTACCTAAGAGTAAAATATTGTTGGTGTTCCATTTTAATTCCTTAATAAAAAAAATTTGCAGTCACTCTAGAAAACCCATATTAATACCTCAAAAAGACTAATATATGGGTCTATTTTAAATTTCATAAGGAGACTGAATCTAACTTTTTTTTTTTTTTGGATAAGATATTGTAACAATCAATTAGGATTATTACCAATGTTATTACTAATCAATTTCACCGGTAGATCGAGTATATTGATCCAACAGTTGTATTTATTTTCACCTTTGTATAGTTATGATTCTAAATATTTAATACTTTATATTTATTTTCACCTTTGTATGGTTATGATTTCTCATAATTAATGCTTTTTTCACATTAAATATGGGGAATCATAACCATACAAAGATGAAAATAAATATAATCGTTGAATCAATATAATCGATGGTCTAACGGTGAAATCGATTGGTAATAACATTGGTAGTAACTCTAATTGGTTGTTACAATATCCTACCTTTTTTTTAGGTATTAAAATGGGAAAAAAATTATTCTCATATTACATGAGGTAAATTTTCTTTCCCAGATATCCTTCAGTGATAAAATTTCTTCTCATCAGTGGGGGAAAAACTATCAACATGATCATACAACTTTTTTATTTTCTTTTTTATTTTTTAGGTGATAGGCCCTACCACTACGTGACATGACATAAGATTTCTTCTCTCATATGACTAGAAAGTCTTTTGATTGGATGGAAATGAATGTAGAAATACTAAATCGTTCTAGATCGAATTTGTCTCATAATTAGATTGATAAGTTTAAAAGAAATTGCTATAGCCTCTATTCAAAGGGGAGATTTAAGCCTAGATATTATGGTGATTCAGAGTCATAAAGATTTGACTCTGAAAGGGTTAAAGAAAACTAAAGACTTGATGAAAAAGAGAATATTGATTATCGAACCAGTGCGTCTGTCTAGAAAAAACAACGAACAATTTTTTATGTATCAAACCACAGGCTTTTCCTTAATTAATAAGAGTAAGGACCAAATTCATGAAAGATATTCAGAAAAAGGTCGTGTTGATAAGAAGAATTGTGAGAAATACATTCGAAGAACAAGAGATCAAAAGATAACGGAAAATAAAGAAAAAAATACGTATGATTTGTTTGTTCCTGAAAATATTTTATCCACCAGGCGTCGTAGAGAATTTAGAATTCTAATTTGTTTCAATACTAGGAATCTAAATAATACACATAGAAACATAATATTTTACAACGAGAATAAAGTCAACAATTTCTGTCAAGTTTTGATGAATCTATATAAATATAATTTTTATATCTATTTGAATTGATTAATAATCAAATTTAATAATCCATTTTTTCAAAAAAAAAAATGGATTATTAAATGAATATTCTTTTTGATACAAAATTCAAAATTAGTGTCATTACCCTTACTGATCAATAAAAATATCTATAAAAAAGACGGGCCTTATATGATACAAAACTCGTTTATACCGCTAACTTCAAAAAAAAAAAGAGAGAAGACCCGGGGTCGGTTGAATTTCAAGTATTTCATTTCACAAATAGAATACGGAAACTTACTTCACATTTTGAATTGCACAAAAAAGACTAATTTAGATAAACCCATTAAAATGTAACCTGTAAATTTTGTTGTAAAGCAAAAGTATTTTACTCTTTTAATAAATATCTTCTTATTCACTTTACGGTAAATCAATCTTACAAAAAAAAAAAAAAAAAAAACTTTTATCAATATTTTGAGTACCCAGTGTTTCCGAACACACGTGGTATAATTATATTACTTTCTTCTGAGAAGAAGAAAAGTAATAATGGAATAAATTTTTATATATTGTACAGTATTGCATTTAATAAATTACAATATATTGTATATGGCACAGAAATTAATATTTTGTTGTATTAAATTATATTTTTCAAATCTAATTTAAATTTAAAAAATACATTAATCTAAAAGAAATATATTACTCTAAAATAAATTTAATTTAATTTAAAATATATTGTAAGTTTAGGCTATAAATAAATACTTACTTACTTGTTTTAAGAAGCATTCTCCAATCTAAAACTACATTAAAATATCGCCGGATAACTCAGCCCAGCCCCGATAATTGTGGAATTAAATTTTCACCATAAATTAAAGGGATGATTTATAACTATGTTGCAAGAAAATGGATAAATCATGTCATAAAATATATTTAGGGAGCGTTTGGTTAAGTGTTTTGATTTAGTTCCCAGTCCAAATCTAATTGGCATTTAATGATTCCTTTGTTTGATAGACAGAATTCAAAAATTATGTCATGCTTCTCTTTTCTCCATCTTTGGACAAATATGTGCAAAAGGAAAGGAAAGTCAATGTAGAATTTGACTAATTCGAAGGTGGTATTCCTAAAAAAGTAGTGGAATCACAAAAAGGTGAACGAACGCGTTACTATATTACCCTTAACCTCACATATGTGTTTTAACCCATCTTCACATTCAAAAATTAAATCAGGGATTTTTCGGTATTTCAATGCATTTACCAATTATTATTTCACTCTCAATCAAAGAAAGACTCACAATATTTAACCTAATTTTTCTGATAAAATTTTGCCAACCAAACAGTTTTTTCCTACCATATTATTGGTAACTGCATTTATCTGGTAAAAAAAATATTTTCTCTACCAAACGCCCCTTAAGTGTAAGTCCATTTTTAAAAAAAAAAAAAAGAACATCACAAAGTTCAATGGATATGCTGGGAACATCTATTAATTCTAAATCCCTAAATTAAAAGCAAGAAATAAAAGTTATTTGAGTGAAACTCAGAAACAATAATCGTTAGCTGGTTCATTCTATCCAGGTTGACTCAATGGACTAAATTTGAGTTAATTAGTAATGGGCCGAATTTGATACATAATGAGCCCAGTATGCTAAGATTGTGAATTATTTGAACTGACATTTTTTTTAATTATTTGTTCATATAATTGAGTTTAAGGAAGTTCAGAAATGCATAAATCTTTCTCACGATTTTCCATGGTCACATTGATTAGATGAGTTAGCTTTCCTCCATTCACCTTGGGCTATGGCTTTGTATTATGCCCACCTTGTATTGTATGAGTACAATCTATCTTCGACAAAAATGAAAATGAAATTTTTTACATATGGTTATCAGTGCCGATCCTTCTACACATTTGTATGATTATATTATCCATAAAGGCCAGCACAGAAGCATTTCTATTTTAAAGACCCATTAAATGTGCATGTGCTTTAAAAATACATATATAATAAGTTTTATTCATCAAGGAATGGCATGTTAGGGTCGCCGGCTTTAAAAATTGCATGTAAGATAATGTGATTTTTTTAATTGAAAATATATAATGTTCTTTTTATTCTTTAACTTTAATTATCCTTTTTGAGACAAGTGGGTCGCACAGAATAATAGCTTAAAGATCTGTTTGGATGGATTGTTTTTTTTTTTTTTTTAAAAGAGCATTTTTTATTGTAAATTTATTTAGATGTCTGTTTTTTTTTTTTTTTTTTAAAAAGTCACAAAAAAGGCAAAAAGAAAAAAAAATTAGCTTCTAAAAAAACATAAATATTTTTTAAAAAAATTAAATTTTTTGTAAAAATTTAGATAATTTTAACTTTTATAAAAAATACTTATAAAATAAGCAAGGCATACAAATTAATTTTTTAAAAGCCGGCCTATAAATTCCCAATTCGAATACTGCCATAATTATGTACCTCTGTTCCAAAAATTTATCTTTCCTGAATTTGAGCCAAGTATTATTTTATACAAGATATAAAACTTAAAATTAGTTCTTATTATACGTTTCTTTTGAAGTATATATACCGAAACTAATAAATTTACAAAACTTTCTTATTGCATGAATAAGCCATTTGCATAATCGCAAATTTCAGTTGGTTTTTTTTTTTTCTTGGATACAAAAATTTCAGTTGTTTGTTCCATAGTTTTCCTCTCTTATATTGTCTAAAAAAAAGTTACCAAGATCGTGTATCAAGTCAAAGAATACTATTTAATTTTATAATCATGGCCCATTGTACAAGCAATTTCGTTTGTTTTTTTTTTTTTTTTCTTGACTCAGCATTTCTTATCTCTCTTCTTGAAAGTCGTGTTGATGCACATGCGGTGCGGTGTTGAGAGTTAGGAAACATACATATAAATTTTTGGCGGTTGCATTAGTAAAAGGAGGCTGCCCCAATTTACTCACATTCACTTCCCAAATTCTCATTTCCAAGCAGATATTATTTTCATACTTCAAAGTTGAGGGAATCACATTCGAACAAAAATTAGTTCGATATAAAGGATGCAAATTGCAAAGACACTCAACAGCTTTTTCACTCTCATAAAGCATTTTTATTGCAATACTTTTTATTTTACTAATTATCAAGACTTTATAATGAAATTTATTTAACAATCATATATTAATCAATAATGGGACTCAAGTAGGCATATGAATTGATTAGAGGGGTGATGATGCAGATGTTTTTGTTAGCGGGTGAAGTGGTTCAACATAACAAGGATTTAAAAGGAAATAATATGAACTATAATTCAAAGAGCGCTAAAGAATCTTCAACGCAAAATTTTAAGGTGATAGGTGATGGTCTTTTTAATACTTTATATTTTATTCTCTAACACACTCCTCACGCAAGAGCCCTTTGGGCTTGAAGCGTGGATATGACACAAGCCCATTTTGTGGTCTGCTTTGTGCTTTTCTTAATTCCACCTGAAAGTGGAGGGCGGTTAGGATCGAACTCGTGACTTTGTGATCACTGACGCTTCTGATACCATGTTAAAGAATCACTGAAGCATAAATATGGCACAAGCCCATTATTGGTCTACCTTGTGCTGCACAAGCTCATTTTTGGTCTGTCTCGTGCTTTTCTTAATTTCACCTGAAAGTGGGGCTGTGAGGATCGAACTCGTGACCTCGTGGTTACTGAGGCTTTAATCCCATATTAAAGAACCACTTCAATCCAAAACCTTAAGGTAATAGGTGATGGTCTTTTTAATACTTTATATTTTATTCTCTAACAAAGAAATCACGGTTGAAGCCTTAGCCAAACTGAGAATTAAGAGGGAGTTTAATACGTTCGATTATTGGTGAGTGGTGACTTCTTTAAAGTTTCAGCAAGGGAAAATGTCTCTTCTAAATAGGTATAGGGATGTTCATAGTGTGGGGAAAATTTTCCTTAGCATAAGAAGCGTGATACCATAATTATTTTTCAACTGTATGGCCCCACTAAGGTGTGAAACTGTGTAATAAACTATAATGTGATGTATCATTACTGTTTATATACACGAGCACTGATATACAGAAACTCCTAAATGTGACTGTTTCTTTCTTTCCCGAAATAATAATAGCATTTATGCAGATTGATCCTTTCAAACTGCAAAGAAACATATAAAAAGACTTTCTCATATTACCATTCTTCCATTCTCTTTCTTACGTTGTAATATTATGAGCTGTTCTTGATAATGGCAGCTAGGAAAATGAAAATGAAATGAAAACTATGTTCACTTTTTCTCCTCCTTTCAACCAACATACACAAAGCACATAAATATCACAGCCTTTACATTGCCATGGATTTGTTTAAAACCTTCAACTGCCCTTACTTAATCTTCATCCTCTTCCAATATGACTAATGTTCTTAATTAGCTTGGATTCTATTATGTGTAGTTCACGCACTCTTACCAAACCAAACACATCATCTATTATTCTTTTCATTAAACCATCAAACTTGTCTTTTCTTATTTTCCTTCTTACTCAACCACTCAATTCCAAAGAAACTCAAAATGGCCACTTTCTTGTAACTTAGTAAAAACTATATAAACAAAAGCATTTAGCAACTCCAGCTAGCTAGCTAGCTAACTGCTTCTCCTTCGTGGGTCAAACTTTAATGCAATTATTCAATTAAAGTGATGACTTTGTGCACCCCAATTCTTTAAAAAAAATCATTCACTTTCTTTCCCTGAAAGAAAATTTATTCCACCACAACACTTCACGTTTTCTTGAATATGATGGAAACAAAATCTTCATTTTCCATGACAACTTGATCAAAGCTTCGTTCTTTGGAAAACCATCAATGGATGGGCTCGTTAAGTTCCAAACTGCTGATCATGATCGTTCTCTCATTGCTCTCTTTAAATCATCACCATCTTCCTCATCATTATCTTCCTCCTCCTCTTCTTGTTCTTCTTCTTCTTCTTGGACCAATGAAAAAGTCCTTCTTTCCTCCTCTCCGGTTCGGTCCGGGTTCAAGGTTTCCCACGAAGGAGAACAATCTCATGTGGCAGAAAATGAAGCAATTCAAGGCATGGGATTCATCAATGGCATTGTTGGTCACAGTGGAATAATGGAGTGGAAGGATGTGGAGAAACGGTTCGACCAAGTGGCCTGGACCGGGAATGGCCCTGAACCGGTTGTGACATGGTCAGAATTTGGCTTCTGCATTGGTGAGGAATAAGAAAGTACATAAACATTATCATTTTGTTTCATAATCATAATAATGACCAGAGCAGTTAGCCACCTTTGCCATGTTCTTCGCATATGCTTTAATTCCAGAATATAAGACAACAATTGGATCATTTTATATTGTTCGTTTAAAGACAACTTAATTTACTTCAATGATTAATGTTTCATGACTTTTTCATTTTTAATTCTCCTTTAGTTTTTCTTTTTTGTTTTAAAAAAATAATTTATCTATTCCTCTACATGTTCTCATATTATTTTGCCAACCACTACCTTATTTATTTATTCACTTACAAATTTGTTGTTTTGTATAGGGATGTTGTCATCACCAGAGTTTGCCAACGAATTGCTAAGAGCACTAAGAGGACACAGGGATTGGAAATTCAATATCACCAAAACTGAATTGCATAAATTTTGGTTTCGTATGAAAGATGATTCCATTAACTCAAGAATGCGAATCTTCTTTGACATGTAAAAATCCTCCACTAGACTCTTCTCTTCACAATTTTGAAATCTGTTTGTAATTTTTGCTTTGCTTTACTTTAGGTGTAACAGAAACATGGATGGAAGAATTACCGAGATGGATATAAAGCAGGTTATTATTTAATGAATAGCTACTTGTTTTCAAACTTTTAATTAACTTTACTAGGTGTGAAGTTGTTTAAATTTTTATATGTTAATTGTCGTCATCCGCATGTTCATGTTGATTTTGGCACTTGTGGAGACATCTCGATAATGCGCTTCTATAATTAATTCTAGAGGGTGCTTATAAATTGTGATTATAATTGGCTTTTATGCATGTTCATGTTCTTTGGGTTTGTGTTTATTTTGTTGCTTATGCAGACAATTTTATTAACTGCTTCTACAAATAAGCTATCCGTGACACATGAAGAAGCAGAGGACTATGCAGCTTTGTTCATGGAATCTCTCGACGACAAAAACAAAGGCTACATTGAGGTACCAATTTTAGCCTCAACCTTCTATTGAGGATTTACCAGATGACCCTCTTCCAATATTCCATTTAATGGAAAGGTTCATCATCATTTGTAGATATCTCAAATGGAGTCTCTATTCAAGGCTAGCCTAACAAAACCAGCATCATCAACAAGAGGCACACATGATGTTCACGACAGTGACTTATGTGAAGAACAAGAACCAATGTCAAGGGCAGAAGTGTTGTTTAGAACCTATTGGCGACGAGCTTGGATTGTACTAGTTTGGTTGCTTGCATGCTTTGTGTTATTTGCGTGGAAATTTATTCAGTACCGACATAGATCAGGCTATGAAATCATGGGTTATTGCCTTCCCACGGCCAAAGGTGCAGCTGAAACCTTAAAACTCAACATGGCTCTTGTTCTTCTCCCTGTTTGTAGAAACACAATCACATGGCTCCGCAAGAACCATCATGTTAACTCTGTTATTCCCTTTAATGACAACATTAACTTTCATAAGGTAGATGCTCTAATACCTTATATTTCGTGGTCTAGTTTTATTAAATAATGCAAATTGATACAATAATAAGTATACATCTAAATTAAGTTCTTAAACTTTAGTCTACTAGAATATCATAGATATTTGCATAGAGTACTTGATATTTAGTTTTTGGGATACATATATATATGCAGCTTATTGCAGGAGGAATAGTGGTGGGTGTGATATTGCACGGTGGGACTCATCTTGCATGTGATTTCCCAAGAATTAGTGAGTCTGATAGATCAATTTTCCGGCAAACAATTGCGGCGGGATTTGGGTATCACCAACCGACGTACATGGAAATATTGACGACTACTGAGGTGGCGACTGGGATTGGCATGGTGGTGTTAATGGCCATTGCATTTTCATTAGCAACCAAGTGGCCAAGGCGTCGCTCAACTGTGCTACCCGTGTCCCTAAGACGTGTCACTGGATACAACACCTTTTGGTACTCGCACCATTTGTTTGTCCTTGTCTATGCATTGCTCATTGTTCACTCTATGTTCTTGTTCCTAACCGACAAGTTGATGGAGAAAACGGTAAGACTTGTTATGTCTTTTTCCCATCCTTATTATAATGTTCCTTTTAAGTTTGAAAACTCTAATCTCAAAATTTAGATAATGAAAAGTTTTTGTATGACTCACATTTTTGTGTAAGACCGTAGTAAGAGATACTAGAGCTCTTCAATTGAAAATAATAATTATTGAGCAGACTTTGGTGTAGATTTTCATTTTTCATTTATGTTTCTATGTACAGACATGGATGTACATTGCTTTTCCAGTTTTATTGTACACTGGAGAGAGGGTCTTTCGAGCCATTAGATCAGGATCTTACGAAGTCGATATTTTGAAGGTATTTGATCAACTTTGTCTATTTAAATAGAAACTGTGGGTTTGAATTTTCTGTTTCATTTGATAGTTTTTTATGGTACAGTCCAAAATGTGAAATATACCAATTTCTTTTATTGTTATGATCTTATCCTCCACTTTGATTTTCCATGCAGGCAAGTCTCTATCCAGGAAAAGTTCTGTACCTCAAAATGCAAAAACCAGAAGGTTTTAAGTACCAGAGTGGCATGTATATATTCCTTCAGTGCCCCCAAATTTCGTATTTTGAATGGTACTTTACCTTTTTCATTTAAGATTCAACATTGTACAGTTAATTCTTGCAAATTTTGTGACGTCAAGCTGGTGAGTCAAGATTGACGTTCTATTTGAGTTTCTTTTGTCTAAATTTTCAGGCATCCATTTTCCTTGACTTCAGGGCCACAAGATGACTACCTTAGTGTGCACATAAGGACTCTTGGAGACTGGAGCTACCAATTATATGCTCTATTCCAAGAGGTAAACATAGCAATTTTTGAGTGCAGAATTATGCTTTTCAAATTTTCCAGTCTCAAAATTGTTCTATCCGCAGGCAGTGATATCAGGATTACAAGGGTGTCCAAAATTATACATAGATGGCCCTTATGGTTCTGCTTCTCAAGACCATGTAAAGTATGACATTCTGGTACTAATTGGCCTTGGCATAGGAGCCACACCTTTTATTAGCATCCTCAAAGATGTAACTAAAGGTGTCCAGACAGCACAAAGTGATCATGTAAGATTTTCTTATTCTACTATCTATTTTCTTTTTGTGATAATGCCTTTCCTAAAATTCAATTGCTCTGCTTCTGTTCCATTAAACAAACGCCAAATTTGGGCATTTAAAATAGAGTGGTCTCAGAGAATGCAGCTTAACAAAGGGTCCATTAAAAGCATATCTCTATTGGATTACAAGAGAGCAAAACTCCTTTGATTGGTTTAGAGATGTCATGAAGGAAATCTCAAATTCAACCAAAAAGCAGGTATGCCTAACTGCAATTTGTTTTGACTATGGTGACATTGGATGCTCCAGGAAAAAAATCTGTTAGTAAAACTATATTATCCTTTTACTATTAAGATCTTCAAGCATTTCCTCACCGTTCTAGACTTTTTGGTAATCTTTTAAGTCGGTTGTGGAGATGCACAATTTTCTGACCAGTGTATATCCGGAGGGAGATGTTCGTTCAGCTTTGCTAAGTGTCATTCAGGCCTTGCACCATGCCAAGAATGGAATTGACATGGTTTCCAGAACTCCAGTAAGTGCATCTTCTCCTTAGTTATGGCCAATATAGCCACAAATATAGAAATTACTAGGAAGATTTAAACTTACAGGAGTGGCCTTAACGAATACCAAATAGGATAGTTTAGGTTTGATGCATTCTGTTTACAGTTTGTCTTTATGCTATTGATCAAGTTGGGCATAACAAAGCAATATTCCTAACTTTTATGTCATTTCAAACTATGTTCTTAACTAGTACGACTTTTGAAGAATCCTAACAAACACACACAGACAAAAAACAGAAAAAGATGAAACATCCGTGGCATGTCATGGACTGCACATATATTTTGCTACTGCTTGATTAAATAATAAATTTTTCTCTCGGAATTTTCAGATACACACACATTTTGCTCGACCAAATTGGTTCAACATATTTTCCAGATTGGCTCGCAAGCATGGAGGAGCTAAGATTGGTGAGAAAAATATCCCCCGTAATTTAATATTGTTTTTGACTGAAGCTCTTTACTTAGGATACTTTCTCAACTTTGCATGTTATTTAATCATTGAAATAGACACATTTAATTTACTGGCTAAATCTTTACCCAACCACTCTATCTATCTCCATGAATACAAGAAAAAAAGAGGTTCAATTGCTTTTCCTAACTAAGAACGTGGGTTTTCTCGTACAGGGGTTTTCTATTGTGGCCCATCTAATTTAGCAAGAGAATTGAAGAAGTTGTGCACCAAATTTTCCACCAAAACCACAACGAGATTTGTTTTCCACAAGGAAAATTATTAAACTTATTTCAGAAGGAAGAATTATATCTGTTGTACCAATTCCTCAATTAGGAAAGGATAGTTACATTCAGCATCTTGGGATGTTTCCTTTTTTTTTTTTGCCAGAGCATCTGCAAATATATTAGTTGCTCTGGTGTCTCTTTCATACCAACTTCAAGAAGAGTGGTTCAGCAATTGAAAAATTAAATAAAATACGTCAACAATAGTCCTTTACTCCTTCTCATTGATCGTTGTCAGTGTCTATGCAAGCTATTAGCTATTAAGGCATCAAATCATACTATCAGAAGAAATATAAATAATGAATAGTTTCCTGGTTATAACAATTAGAGAATAATTTTCTCATGGAACTTTCACATACGCACTCCTTTTGCTCAACCAAAAATAAAATTGGTTAAACATAATATCTAGATTGGTGAGAAACAAATCAGTTGAAATATACATATTAAGTTTGCAGGATGTTATGAAATATATATCCATATCTTAACTACCTATTCAAGAATGATAAATACTCAATTATTCTAATTATATGAAACAATAAAGCTGCCAAGGATAGAATCTCTATCTCAACTGAAAAAGAGTTGAATCCTACTACAACTAGGAGATCTACACAACCCAAGAGGTAATCTCTATAAAATACAAGGCTTAAGATCTCACGTATATACTTTGAACTCATTTACTACTTCTGCTCACATTGTGCACACACCCACATCTCGGCTATAAGCCTATTGCTTGTGCGCAGTGATTGAGATATTGGTTACAAGTCAACCAACTATATAGTACATGATCACGGTTCCTTAGGACCGAACACAGGCTAAAGCTGTCTATGTATATTATATATACACAAAAGAAAATTGATCCGAGCAGTTAATAGCACAGATAGTGTACGAGAGTTGAACATGTGTTGAATAAAATTACCTTCCATAAAAAATATGTGTGATTTATAAAAAACAAAAAGAAAGAAAGGTGGGTGAATCACACTCACTCTTGACTATGACTCATCACTTATGGGGTGTTGTAAATCTCGTACACCATTTTATCATCAGTTCTTCAATACTAGCATCCATGCGGGTACCAACACCTCCCCACACTAGCATGTGGGCAAGATCCCCAACCGATGAGCCAGTCACTTCGTACACAGCTTTAAACCCAAGTCTAGTGTAGAACCTAACCAACTGTTAAAATAATATAAATAAATAAGACATCAAATTTTAATAAAACAAAACAAAACATAACATATGAGAACATGAGAAGTTTCGGATAAGGTTTGTAAAAGGAGAACCTTAGAATGGTAAAGATCAGAATCATTGATGGCAAGTAACTGAGCTATTTTGCAGCCACAATCATATCCATGTCGAATTGCGAGTGCCCCAATGAACAAGCCAAGGCCAAAGATTGATTTTTCCATGGCCAGTGTTTCTCTTTGGAGTTTGATTGAGTCCAAGTGAAGAATTTTGCCTCGTATCCATATTCTTATCAATCCCTCAGCTTTTCCAAGCTCTGTGTCGGTTACCAAGCTCCTCGCGGTGATTCTGAAAAAGGGTCCCAGAGTTTGGAGCTGAAGGTCGAGTTTCTGTGCTCTTGATGCTTCTACTATTTCGGATATGGTTGGAATCATTGCTTCGTTGTTAGCCTTTGCACGTGTCACACGTGGGAATCTGCTCTTTTGAAGGGAGATTGAAGTGGGAAGAGAGAAGCACTGTGAAATTGGAATATCTGCAGAAAGAGGAACATGAATTCTAGTTTGCATTGGTGGGTGGTTTGATTGTATTGTTAGGTTCTGGCTTAACTTCATCGTGGACGAAGCCCACGGGAATGTCTATGTTATGCTAGAATCCCCATTCATAATCCACAAATATTAATTAAGCTTTTCAAGACAAAAAAAATATAATAATTTATTTAGTTTTTGTTTTTAAGCTTTATTCAAAATGCTTGAAAAAAGGAATTTTCAATTAAAGTAATGCTTTTTAAGACACGATAAAATAGTGACACTGACCATACTGTCACATTTAAAAAATAAAAATAAAAATACCTATTATGTGGTTGGAAAAATTTTCTAAACTGCCCCGACTCTAAACTCGTTGGCAGTTGTAGCGAGCATGGTTGGCCATATGACACCTGTACCACCCGGTCGCTTCAAAAAATCAATGATTGTCCCCACAAATTAATACGAGACTTTTCGGCGTACTTTGTCCTCACTAACACACTTCATGGGAAAACTTCCAAGAGATCATTCATCCCTGAATTGCTTCAAGTTAAGCATGCTTAACTATGGAGTTTTTACGTTCCGGGCTACCGAAAAGTATATGCATCTTGTTAGTCTAGATAGTACCAATCAATTCTTATAAGTTATCCCCAACTGTAGAGTCATATACTTGTACAGTCTTTGGAATCCCTCTCTTTCGGGTGTATATTCGATACCCATACGATGGGAGACGCTCCTTGTCCATGTCTCTTTACACCAGCGATCATTCCCCGCCCTCGTCAGCCACTGGAATATTACAACACATTTCCCTTTTTTGGAAATATTCCAATCGGTTCATTACTTCGCAAATAATCTGATTCGGGGCGGGTCCAGGATTAAGGCTTTAAACCCCTTTTAAAGGTGGTACCGGAGAGATTACAACACGCTTCCCTATGCTTGATTATTGCCATGTGACAAATCATACTCGCTACAACTGCCAATGAATTCAGAATCATAGCAATTTGGCAAAAAATTTCATCCCTTGATATTCATGTAATTTTTTTTAGAAACGTGACAATACAATTAATATCTTTGAAAAATTATGAGGTAAACTTTTAAATTATAAGCAATAAAACTTATGCAAAGCATCTCACACCTGTTTACGAGAGATGTGTTACCACTAGTGTGAGACATTATTATAACTAATAATTTTGAGATTAAGCCAAAACTAATATATTTCACCTTTCAATAATCACCGAGTGGGGGCAATATGTCGCTCCTAGTGCAAAGAGGGATTTTACTGATATTGTGACACCCACTTTTGCGGCTAATAACTTTAAGATTAAGTTAGCTCTTGATACAATTAGTCCAAGAAGACCTATTTGGGGGAGGATATGCAAAGAATCCTAATTATCATATTGTTAATTTCTTTCAACTTTATGACACTATAAAGATGAATAGTATCATTGACGATGCCATCATACTCAATGAAAGATATAGTGATGGTTGTACGCTCAGCCTCAAGAAAGCACCACACGGGAGGACATGGTTTCTAAATTCTTGTATAGTTATTTCCCATCATCCAAATACATGAAGATGAAAAGTGAGATCATTTGCTACGATCCAAAGGAAGGAGAACCTTTATATGAGGCACGTGAGAGATATAAAGAATTACTTAAGAAAGTGACCACGTCACTCATTTGAAGACTGGCAAAAAGTTCATATCATTTACAATGGTAGAAGCCTATAATGTCCTATTTTAGAACTAATTTATTAACATTACGTATGGCATTAAGCGCAGCTACAATCGCAATAATTGAATTAAAATATAGATACACTTTTTCCTTTTACGTTAATAAACGTTTCTGTTTAAAATCAATTTCGTAATTAAAACAATTCCAAAAGTTGAACTTAAACAATACGTGGAACACCTAAGGTTTATTTAACTATGTCATACATCGCTCCCTCAAAGCGCCAAGTAATCCCTTTAATCCAACAAGGCTTAAAACTCATTTTTATGCATATTCAACACTAAACATCTTCAATTTTTAATTACTCCAGGAATTCTATAACTCCTCTATAATCATCTTCTGCCATTATATTATAGATCTCTTCGTTAGCTACATGTGGGTTCAAATTGCGCTTAATTTGGAGCACCGTAGCTCAAGTTATGAATTTTCTAAGAAAATGGTGCTGAAATTCACATGGTCCGACGTTGATAACGCCAGAAAGTGAATTTCCCAATGTATTACGGTGCCATCAGCGCCAAGGACAGGGGATTACACTCTACGTTAGTATTTCACCCATAACTTGGCTTATACTTATCCGATTAACGCAATCTTGATCTCGTTGGAAAGCTAGGAAAAGATCTATAACTTTCAAGAAGACCAAAGGATCCAAATCTATCATCTAGGATATGAAAAATGGACCACAAGACAGGGCATCCTTATATCTATACTAATTCTCAACCCAAATGTCTTCTTTCACCTAACTGACATTGTATACCTACTATAATACATAATTCTTACCCTATTGAGTTTCACATGTTATCAAAATAGGCATCCATGCGCTTCCATCATATACACAACAAGTACAATATTACACAATGTCTAATGTATTTAATTCATAACCATGGAACTTAAATACAAAATACTATGATTAAATCCTTGGCTTCCATTAATAACATTAGATACCAAAGAAGGTAAGCATAGGCTAAGCCCACCAAAATGAAGCATGATGTATATATATCAAATGGCTATCAAATGTAAATCCTATACATGGGAACTACCAAATGACATGCATAACCAAAAGAATGCAACATCATCATGTATCAATCTAGCTCAAGTATGGCCATTTGCCACAAGAGGCTCCTGCAACATCTATACCTGAAAGGGGGGGCCACAACACAATGTGAGATATACATATATATCTCAGTAAATCAGGGATCCTTGAAGGATCTCTCCACCCCACAGTTCACTTATAATATAATAGCAATAACAGTAAACAATGCAATACATACCTATCCGTGCAGTGTGTAAAATATCTCCACAAGACATCCATCGGGCTCTCTTGCCGTCCTAAGGATACTCAGATGCAAATAGTCCTACTGGTTTAGGAATCTACCAAATATGAATTACGCATTGTCATGCAACATACGAACATAGGGAAACACCATCCTATGCCACACCTAGTGCATACACATACATATATTAATGTATTAAACTACTCTGTTGCAATTACATACACCAATAATAATCACTATCCCATCAGGGCTTGGTGAACAATAAAGGGATAAATCTCAAAGTCTGAAGGCTTACCTCAATTGCTTTCAATTCAACCTTTGTTTACCACCAATGCAAACAATCAAGCTTTACAATTTAATACCTACATCAAGGTACAATACAATCAATCAATATCAACCAATGAATATCAATATATTCATCATATCCAAGGCAATCGAATGCCATATACTAGGCATAAACTCACCAATCCAAGTGAGCTAATCAAGCTCCGTCGTTTCTTCCAATGGTTGGCCTTTCAATGTTGGTCCACAAGGCTCAATCCTAGCACCACAATGGACACAATCAATCATCTAACCAAACCATGGCTTACAATGCAAGAATTCTCATAACTCCAAGCATGATTTTCTAAAAAATTATGAGTAATCCAAATGACTATATAAACTCATTTCTATCGATCATTTACCCTTCCTAACAACTTTTACAAAGGGATTCAGCTTAAATCAAACTGAAACTCATACCACCCAAAAAGACATTATTCATCATCTTCAACCTCATGAAATATCCATGAAAACAAGGTTTGAAGAGTGAAAACTTACCACAAAAGGTCACACAACCAAGGAATGTGGATCTCCTAAGCTCCCATGAAAGGAAATGCCTCCAAACTCCTCCAATCACCAAGAGGTTCGAAATCTTTGGAAGAGAATAGGAGAAATGAGGAAGTTGGGTTTGAATTCACCAAGAGCTTCCCACTCAAAACTAAGCTAGGATTTTGAATGAAGAGAAGATTCTAAGAGTTTTTTATTTTGGAATGGATGGATTTGGTGGAAAAATGAAGAAGTTGGGTTTTGAGCATCCAACAATAATGGCTTCTCTCTCTCTGCTGCCACGAAGACGAAGAAGGAATAGGAGGCTTTTTGTGTCTCATTCCTAAGTTTAAAACATTTAACGTAAGTAGGTCAATTCCAACTGGGTAAAAACTTATCTACCTAGTGCTTTTTCATTCTCTTTCAAACTTTATTCATTGGTCTGAGATATTTTTCCAGTAATATTTCTAGCTTTACTTTTAAATTCTGGGTAATTTTACTTACACACATTTTATCCCAAAAGTCTCAATAACTGCACTTTTTGACTCAAAAATTATTCTAATTTATTTATGGGAAATATTTTTCTCATTTTGTTAAAGATAGCTCTCTCATGTTATACACTCATCGAATTTTGTGCAGACTTTTTCTGTTTCTTTTTTATTTTGTTTTAAAGTGTGGACCCCACATATTTATTTCACACACATGAGAGAACTATCTCAAACAACATGAGATTAGTAACTCCCTTTATTTATTTAAGCCTTTTACTTAATTCAACTCAATATTGTATGATTAAATATTTAATCCACGCTATTTTCTAATTAAATAGGTTATGGATATTATAAAGCCCGCCTTCAAGAATGATTATTGGTGTTTTAGCTGGAGGTTCTCTTGTCACCAAGATGATAGCTTCAAATAAATATCTGATTCCTTAAAAAAAATCAGTGGTTAAGCAAGGCATAATGGAGCTTGATATATAGTCACTGTTACACTCCCTTGTATGCATCTAGGAGAGGGTGTTACACTAATTGGTATCAGAGCAGGGCCTCTCTTCCAGTACGGTGTGGTTCGAGGACGAACCAGGCGGAAGCTTGTGGGCATGTAACATCCCAAGAGCTGGCAAAGGCAGGGAGTCATCGCCGGTGTGAAAGGGCACGAACAATGAGCGGCTCATGCCAAATCTTGCAGCTTAGGGGTTCATGAATGAATCAAATCAACACTTTAAAAAGAGGGATTCCAGCGACTGTGCTGGTATGGGACGATACAGTTAGGAATGGCTTATAAGAATTAATTGGTACTACCTATACTAACAAGATGCATCTACTTTTCGGTAGCCCGGATCGGAAGAACTCCACAATTAAGCGTGCTTGACTTGGAGCAATTCTGGGATGGGCTACCTCCTGGGAAGTTTTTTCGGGAAGTGTGCGAGTGAAGACAAAGAACACTGAAAAGTCTCGTGTTAGTGTGTGGGGACAGTCATTGATTCTTGCAAGTGGCCGGGCGTTAAAAAAAATATGTATGTTAGTTTTGACTCCTCATTTATTTTACAGTTTTACCCTCATTATAAACTTGTATTTATAAATTTTATCATTTATTCAAATAATTTCTTTTAATAATAAATGATTTTATCTTCCCTCATTCAAAATCATAATAACAACTTTATATAATTACCAAATAACTTTTAGTTTTAGTTTTAGTTTTTTAAGTTTTTTTTAACTTTACCTTAAAAAAATGTCAATCAGGCTAATAGAATGTTTTGTTGGCCTAGAGAAGAAGTATTTCATATAAGTTGGCAAACTTTACTAAGCAATTGGCAACACCTCAAGTCAGGGCAATTAATTCTCATCCCCCAATGTGTGACTTTGTAGAGGTGAGCTTGCAAATGAGTAAAGCTACACCTACTTAATCATCCACTCCAACTCAAGTGCATTACGTAGAAGATGAACCAGTTTAGAGGGATTATATTTTTGGTTATAATTGTTGTATGGGTTTTATTAATCTCATGTTAAAGGAGATAAGTTATCTCATGTTATAGAGATAAACTTGTGGGCTCCACCACCTGAAAAATAAAAAGAAAAGAAAAGAAAAAGGTGGCACGATTATCGAAGAGTGTGTAGGAGAGAAATTTACCACATGTAGCATAAGAGTAGTTTTTTCCTTGTTGTATATAGTATATTTGTTATACTTGTAATGCATGTTAAGACAGTCATAGGTTTGATTGAAATTATTTAATGTGTTAAATCATGAGTGTATTCTTTAGGATTATGGATGACAATTATGGATTTTGAAATTTTTTATGATTGAAATTAATGACTACAGTTGTGAGAAGTGTTATTAAATCTGATTCAGGCATCGATTTGGTCGAGGTACTGGGTCATTGGTTGGACAGGTGGATCACTGGTCGTACTGGTTGACCAGGATATATAAAAATATGAGTTTTATAACTCTCATTCAACATGAGAATTGAAATATTCCTACACACCTTTCGATCTCCGTGTTGACTTGGATCCTACACATAATTTTTTCTAACATATGGGTCTCACATGTTTTTTGTCTCTACAACATAAAATTTCAATTCTCATGTAACTTGAGAATTATAAAACCCTAAAAATATATGTAATTACGAACATATAAATTTAATTATATTCTTCAAATCTAAAATGAGTTAAACATGTTAACTAAATAAGCTCAAAAATTACTCAATCATACTTTTACAAGTTCATAAAGCACAAATAAATGAAAATGCACGCTATTACTATGTCAATTTAAATTGCAACTCAGAATCTCCATAAGCATATCTCTCAATGATATTCAGAAGGTCAAATGTTGTGAACTCATATTTTTCAAATTCATCTATGTTGAAATGACTTACGTCACCTTCTCTTAATTTATTGTTCCGTTAAATGCTTCAATATTGAAAGTTTAAATTTAAGGTAATTGTAGAAGAGTATACTGCTAGAAAATAAAATTAAAATTAAAATAAAATGAGTTCTATATTTTTTTCTAACAAGATGAAACAATTTTTGTTTTTTCTTTTTTTTAATATAAAAATGCATGACCTGATCGAGACACCGATTTTGGCCGTGTTTTGACCGAGTTTAATCGGATCCAATGCATGGTCAGTCCGATACTTGACTCGAACCGATACGATGACTGATTCACCATTCATAACACTGGTTGTGAGGTTTTGAGCCCTATATTTCTTTCTTGCGTAGATGACATCTTAAAACTTTAGTTTTCTTGGATGAGATGGTATTTATGCATCCATTTGCTAAAATGATAAAGGAAAAACTATTATCATGCTACATGAGATAAGTTTTTCCTCCTACACATCTTTCGATAGTCGTGCCATCATTTTCTTTTCTTTTTTTCAGGTGATGGAGCTCACATGCTTGTTTCTATGACATGAGATAACTTATCTCATTTAACATGAGATTAATAAAATTCAATGATAAAAGCACATTTTTTTCCTATAAACAAGAATGCCATATAGTCCATGTAACAATATGATCCATTCTTTAGCTCACATATTTAGTTCTTATATATGTGAGGAATAATGCTTGCTTGTCATGATGTTCACTTTTAAATCTTGATTAAATTTATTGTCTGTGTGTGGTTGTATTACTGGGTTAGCAGTTAGCATGATCTGTTTATTGTCTTATTGATATCCCTTATTGACTGATTTAGGACTTTTGTTTACATTTATTTGGAAAAATTTAATAGCACTTCGAGTTATCTGTTTTTCACATATAATAATTAGAGAGTTATATTTACAAATTTTTTGTTTACAAACTTTTATAAACTACACTATGTCTGACTGATCAGACATTCTTGAGTGAAGTCTGACCAGTCAGACATAGTGTAATTTATAAATTTGTAAAAAAAAAAATTTATCAATATAACCCTTATTTAAAAAGTAACATAAAAACTCTAAACGTATAACAAGTCCAGAACTGTCCATGAAATTAATTGATTACGATTTCACATTATTTTGTTATTTTTTGGGATTTATTATTGATACCTACATTAATTTTGCATTTATATGACAATCAAGAATTCTTTTCAAGATAGATAGTGCTAGAATCTTAGCACTTGAGCACCAAATGACTATCTAACTTCATCTTATTTAATTACATCACTAAAATAAAGAAAAATTACTTTAGAATAATTCAATTAAATACTATTTTATAATTCACATGGAAAAAAATTGAAAACACTAGACAACAATTGAAGATGTAAATGAGTTAAGAATTCCTAAACTATTTTACTCAACTACTTAAATACTACATTAATCTTATTTATTTTACGAAAACAAATAATTTTAAGCGTAACTTTAGATTTAATTATATAAAAGAAAATAATTATCTCATGTTGCATGAGATAATTATCTCATGCAACAAAAATAAAATAGTAGGATTCACTATTTATTTATTTTTTAAATTGTGAATCACATTATCTTGTCTCTTTAGTATGAGATAGAGATAAATAGATCACTTATATAAATAAGTCAAATTCGTGAATAACTCTTGTATAAAGAAACTTTAAACGAGCCGGAAATTTGACTTGACTTGTTTAATTTAAGTAAAAAAATATTTCTTCCGCAACTTGAGATAAATTTATCTCGGTCAACTCTAAAATTACGTCGTTTTATTTATTTATTTTCTTGTATTAATTGATTCATCTTTGAGTGATTATGATTCTTTTTTTCTCTCTCTTCCTTTATTACCATTGATTCATCTTTGTACGGTTATAATTTAGTAACCGGAGATAAAATTATCTCCCACAATTTAAGAAACGGTAAGCTTTAATATTAACGAGATAAACAAGTTAGATTTAAGATTTATATTTTTAAACAAATCTAGATTAAGTTTTAAATTTATCTTATTCCAATAAAAAAGTATATCATTAAAAAATAACATTTGTTAATACGTTGTTTGTTAGTGTTGTCGTGAACCCTAGCCTTATATTCACAAACCTGTATCTAATAGATTGAACAGAAGACACAAAATAGGAACCCTAGTTCTTACGAGGTGCAACAATGGCGTCGGCGAAGCGATGCCACTACGAAGTCCTTGGTATCCCCCAAGACTGCAGCCCCGACGAGATCCGATCGGCTTACCGGCGGCTCGCCCTGCAGCGCCACCCGGACAAGCTCGTCAAATCTGGCCTCTCCCAAGCCGAAGCTACGGCTCAGTTCCAGGAGCTGCAACACGCCTACGAAGTACTCTCCGATCCTAAGGAACGAGCTTGGTACGATTCCCACCGTTCCCAGATCCTCTTCTCCGATCCCAACTCGCTCGGTAACTCGGTCGTCCCTGACCTCTTCTCCTTCTTCTCGAACACCGTCTATTCCGGTTACTCAGATTCCGGCAAGGGTTTCTACAAGGTTTACTCCGACGTGTTTGACAAAATCCACGCCAATGAAATCAATTTTGCTAAGAAATTGGGTATCGGTGTTGATGCGGTTCGACAAGCCCCTCTTATGGGAAATTTGGATAGTCCCTATGCACAGGTCACAGCGTTTTATAGTTATTGGTTGGGGTTTTCTACTGTGATGGATTTTTGCTGGGTCGATGAGTATGATGTTATGGCCGGTCCGAACCGGAAGTCGAGGCGGCTTATGGAGGAAGAGAACAATAAGGTGAGGAGGAAGGCTAAGAGGGAGTATAATGATACTGTGAGGAGGTTGGCTGATTTTGTGAAGAAGAGGGATAAGAGGGTGATTGATATGAAGGTTAAGAAGAGTTTGGAGATGGAGAAGAGGAAAGAGGAGGAGAGGGAGAGGAAGAAGAAGTTAGAGAAGGAGAAAAAGGAGAGGGCTATGGCTTATGAAGAGCCTGATTGGGCTAAGGTTGAGGAGGAGGAGGTGGAGGAGGATGAATGGTTTGAGGAGTTGGAGGAGGGAAAGAAGAAGGGGGAGAAGGAGTTTTATTGTGTGTTGTGTGGGAAGAAGTTTAAGAGTGAGAAGCAATGGAAAAACCATGAGCAATCCAAGAAGCATAAGGAGAAAGTTGCGGAGTTCAGGGATTCTCTTGGTGATGAAGAGGATTTAGAAGCAGAGTTGGAAGGAGAAGGAGCAGGGAAGGAGAGATTGGAAAGTGAGGAGGATGGAATTGGGCTGAATGATGATCAATCTGGGGAGACTGATTATGGGGCTGGTGATTTGGAGGAGAGGATTAGAGATGGTCTCAATGTTGCAGAGGGAGAGACTAGAAGTGGGGTTGAACTGAATGATGATGATGATGATGAATTTTTTGATGCCCGGCATGCAAAGGAGGGGGAGGAGGAGGAGGCTGCTGTTTCAGTAGATTTTGATGCTGATGATAAGGATGATGATGAAATTGGTGTTCTTGAGGCAATGTTGGCTGGGCACAAAAACAGAAAACCTAGTGCTTCAGCACACAAGCCCAAGGCTTCAGCAGCTTCATCTCAAATTGAGAATGAGAATGATGGGGTTGGCCCTATGGAATATAACAACCGAAAGAGCGCAAAAAAGAAACGTGGAGCTAAAAAAGAGAAGGATAGAAAAAATTGGGAAGAATCTCCTGTGGCTGCTGCCAGTGGCAGTTATGAAAACATAAACAGTAATGGAAATCATAATTCTAATCCAGAAGAGTCTTGTTCCCAATATGTTGTGGAAAATGAGGATAATGGAAAAGAGAATGAGCAGGTAGGTAGAGATAAGAAGAAGATTTCAAATCATCCAGATGATAAAAAAGGAAATGCAAAGGATACAAAAACCAAAGCAAAAGTTTCATCCAAAGGAAGAAAGGCAAAGGTAAGAACTTATCAATAAACCTGTTCCCCAATCCCTTGTGTGTCATGACTCATGAAACATGTTTCTGTCACAGCTGTGTTATATTGTCTTTTGTTTTAGTAGTTTCCTGAACTTGAAACCCGCATTTTAATTCCAATAGTTTTGCTTCTAATTGTTGCTAGTTCAGATGATGTTAAAGGGACAACAATCATTGCTTGTGAAGATTTCCATTTTTGTGGTTATTTATCCTCTATTATTTTCTAAAATTCAGGGGAGTGGATCCTCTGGTGTTATTTAACATGACAATGTCATGTGAGAAAATTATAACTATATAAAGGTGAATCAACAGTGATAAGGGAAGAGATTGGGATAGACAGTTACAAAATCATCACCATGGAATTGTTGATTTACCTTTGTATGGTTATAATTTTCTAATAACAAGAATCCATTCCCAAAATTCACATATTTAAGACCAGTAGCAGTGGTTGAAATTCTTCTGTACTTATATGTTCAGTGGTTTCTATGTTGTTGTAGCCAGGATAACGTTGATTATGTGTTCTGGCAATGTCTTACTGTTAAGCTTATCTCTGTGCTCAATATTCTAATTTCTGATTTTGTTTCTTAAGGCAACATCAAAGAATCTTGGCAATATTTGTGATGCATGTGGAGAGGATTTTGAGTCAAGGTAATTTATATCTCTCTTGTTTATCAAATTTCAACTTGTTCTCATGGTAAATCTTTTGTTGTCAAAATGAACTTTTTTCTAACTTGGTTTGATATTATTCACAGGAATCAATTACATAAACATCTGGGAGATTCTGGGCATGCAACAATAAAAAGTCGATAAGGAAACTACAGTAGGAATTATTGAATTCAAGCGTGTCCTCGAGTAGTTTCCAGTTCCAGAGATTAGCTAGCTTCAATTATTGATCCATTCTTTTATTTTTACTGTTGTGTTCAGATAAAATAATATCATGCAAGTCTTCCGCGGAAGGCATGCCGTTATTTTGCCACACTAAAGCAATATACGGACGGGGTGTTGCACAAATTTCGATGGAAATCACCCATAATTTTAGTTTGTTTTATATTATTTGTCACTATAAAGAATTAAGAAGATATCAATTATTTTTTTTTATTCTATTAGTCTTTTCATCTTGTGGTGTGGCAGTATAATTAAATAATTTTATTTTTTAAATTAAAAATATATACTAATTTTTTTTTATCTTGTCCAAATCTTTACGAGTTAGTAGATTTTATAGTGCCACCAAACTGGAGCGTCATTGGACCTGCCGTTAAATCTATTCTATTGAAGTTCGTTCTGTTTCCAGTTACAACATTATTAAGGCGAGTGGGATGTTTGCAAGGGCAAAATTAAAGTTCTATTAAGACAAGGCTTGACTAAGATTTTCTGCTTTTTTATTTTTAAAACAAATTATTTAAAATTATTTTGTAGACAAATTTCTTTAAACTAGAAACGAGATGGAAAAAAGAAGTCAACTTGTGCTATTATAGGCCTCAACCCAAAGCTACACCTATTCTATAATAACAAGACGGGTTTAAAATCCAATTTATGCTACGAGTGTTGATGAGTTGGGATGAAATTACAAAGATTAAAATGAATTTTATTTTTTATTAATAAAAAATAGGAAATGAGGGGAGAAAAAAAATGATTTTAGTGGCAAGTATAGCAGCAAGAAATTCAATCAATTTGGCAATTTTCTTGTATTTAATATTCTAGTTTCCGGCCAAATTTTACCAGTTTTCAAAAATATACATGCAATCCATTCAAATATTATACAAGCAATGCAGGCAACAGTACTGTAGCAAATAAAGAGCTGCCAACGCGCGTAATGGAAAATATATGTTGAGCATTGAAGCACTACAATGGGGTTTTGTAGTCTACCACAAATAAGTACTTTTATCTGTACCAGCAAGCTGTTCAAAGAAGATTTACACCCATGTCAATGACATGCGTATGCAAATTAAAACGATTTAGCAGCAGCATCTATGTAAGCAATGGCTTCAACCTCTGAAAGCTGTTCTCCCTCTACCAACCCTTTTATTAAGGTGTTGGCATATGCTTTATTAGGAGCACGTAATGGTAGCTTCCCAGATTTGAAGTGTTCAATATTAAGAAGCGAACCCCTGGTTAAGGTAAAATAAAATCATGCTTATGCAGACCAACAATATGTCACCCAAATACAGCAACTAGAAAGTATAATTTGTTACTCACGTCATGGTAATTATGGGAATATCCTGCTCCTTTCCTAAGTAGACAACGTTACCATACCAAGCACCCTGCAAAACATTATCAGAAAAAAGCCATGACAAACGCATCAAACGCCCACACTGAATAGAGTAAATGAGGGGGAAAATAAATGCACCAAACACTATCAGAAAATGAGTAGAGGGACTTGTGAGACGTACCTTAACAACCTCCTGAGAATTGAACTCCTTCTCGGAGATAGCATTTAGTGTAGTTATATCCAATAAAGGAGAGTCAGCATTAAGGCTTAAATGATTTTCTTGAAATAAAATATCATTGAACTGCTCTAGCCTGTAACAAAGACGAAAACATAAAGACAAGACCTCCATCGGAGATACAAAAGCAAGCCAAAAAAAAAAAAAATCCAACAATGTCATGCTCTGATAGCAAAGCTTTGAAAGAGACAAATTTTCTGCAAATAGAAAGCAGGTTTGAACACCTACAAGGATTTACTTACGAAATTTTGTAAAGGCACATGTAGGCGTTGTGAAGAAAGTTCCTCTCCGGATTCAGAAACGCAACCCCTCCAGGACCCCATGCATGCGAAGAATCGCGACCGAAAAATATATGGCAAGGGAAAGTCTTCCACAGGATTTCTTTCGGCGGAGTTCTGTCCACTGAACCGGAACAGGGCTTCTGCATACCTTCCACCTGAATATCAATTCTGAAAATCTTCATCAAAAGATAACGGATACAGAAAAACAAAGCTACAGAAAAAGAAAGGATAAGCAAGACATGAAAGGCAGGTTGCAAATTCTTTAAAACTGAACAATCAATACATGATGATCACCCTAAAGCCTGGAAGCACAAGACTTGATCTTGTACGATATGAAAAACGCACTCTTTATACCATAAATGCGATCACTTACAACAAATTAAAATATAACTTCTGCAAATCGAAGAACACAAGAAATTCCAGGACTGGCCTACCTTCCCTTAAAGCCAATTGACAGTGTTTACGAAAAAGAGGCAAAGGCTCACAAATATAAATAACTTTCCAAAATTTGATTACTATAAAATATTAAAAATGTTGATGGAATGATTGAAATAAATGAAAGATAATCTGTTTGATATCAGCATTATTGTTTAGATAATTAGTGCAATATAGAAAAGGAACTTGATTGGCATGTTGCATTACCTGTCCACCCGCTAGGTAGCAATGTAACCTTGATTTCCACATATTTGATCCATAAGAGGCATACCATACACAAATATTTGACAATTCTGATCGCCAAGAACTAGAAGCAGTCTCTTGATCTGCACCAAGAATAGATCTTGTCAAGTATCACCAAGATTACCTCACCAAGTGGATTGAGGCATATCCGGAAGCCACTATCACCTACGAGCAAATTCGGAAGTTCTTTACGAAACACATGGTCTACAGGTTTGGGATACCAGGCGGAGTTATCACTGACAACAAGACCCAATTCACACACAACAAATGGGATCAAACAAAGGCTGCTGGACTACCAAGGCAAATGCACAATAGTTAGACACCGCCAAATGCAACCCACAGTTAGGTGTTTATTTCCTTTAAGCTTTTTCAAGTTTAGCAAAATTTTTTCAGTTGATGACATTATACTTTCATTTGTTTAAAATGAATAAACGGGTTCCATCCATGACATGACTAAAAAGTCTAATGTTACTTATGTTATGGGCCCATGTGAGAGGCCCGTCTTCTAGATGGCCCAAGAAAGGCCAATGGAAAGAGGAAGTTAAGGCAAACTAAGGAAAGAATTCTTGATTGTCACGAATCCTAATACGACAGCTACGAACTTGGACATAGGCCCTCAGAAAAGCCACTAAAGGTCCATAATTCCACTACCCACAAGTAAACCCTATATATAAATAAGAGGCAAAACCTAAAGGTATGGACACTCTCTCACTCATTTACTATTATGTTGTCACTGTGCACATACCACCCTTTTGGCAAAGCCGTTTCTCTTAGTGCACAATGATCTGCTAATCTCTAAGATATCTGACAGAAACCCTAAATCCAATAAAGACATACTAGTCTCTGAATAGACATCTGAGAGAAACCTTAATTCCTGGGTTTTATGCTGACCCACAAAGGAATAGAAGCAAATTCTGACAAATGCAAAGCGGTGCTTGACATGAAAGTTCCTCAAAGCAAGGAGGTTCAACAGTTGACTGGTAGACTGACTGCCTTAACCCAGTTCCTACCTAAGCCAGCTAAAAATGCCCTCCTATTTTTCAAGTTGATGAAAAAAAAGCCGTGCAAGGCTGGAACCCGGAATGTCAATCCGCATTCGATAAAATAAAGAAATGCTTGGCAGCCCCACCAGTATTATCTAAGCCGGAATCAGGTAATACCCTGATTTTGTATTTGGCTATTGGAGAAGAAGCAATAAGTGTTGTCCTGATCAAAGAGACAAGCAAAGGCCAGGAGCCAATTTATTTTGTTAGTAGGGCCTTGCAAGGTCCTGAGTAGAGCTGGCAAAATGGGATGAGCCCGCCAGCCCGCCTCGGCTGATTTATTTATTTATATTTTAAATTTTTAGTGTAAAATGTCAAGGGCTTGGCGGGCAGCCCACCCCACTCGCCCAAACGGGGTGGGGCGGGCTGAGATATCTAGCCCATCTTCGAAGGCGGGATGGGCCAACCCGCTTTTTGGCGGGCTGGGGCGGGGCGGGCTGGGAAGCCCGTTTTGCCACCTCTAGTCCTGAGTTAAGATATCAGAAGCTGGAAAAAGTGACGTTTGCCTTGCTGATTACGGCGAGGAGACTGCAGCCATATTTTCAGGGACATCAGATAGTGGTCCGAACTAATCAACCATTACGGCAAGTCTTACACAAGCTGGATCTGGCTGGGAGAATGACCAACTAGGCAATTGAGCTTTCTGAATACAACATTACATATGAAAACCGGTAGGCTATCAAGTCACAAGCTTTGGCCGACTTCATAATGGAGCTCACCCTGGCCAATGCAGAAACTGAAAAAGAAGAAGATGCTTGGAGAGTCTATGCAGATGGATCCTCCAATGACAAAGGAAGTGGAGCCGGGATTATACTTGAAAGTCCAGAAGGGGTGGCCATAGAACACTCCTTAAACCTGGGCTTTTCGACTTCTAACAATCAGGCAGAGTATGAAGCAATAATAGTCGGATTGATGCAAGCTAAAGAGCATAGGGCTAGGAAGGTTAAAATCTTCAGTGACTCCCAGATGGTAACTTCTCAAATTGAAGGGAAGTACCACGCCAAGGGCCCTCTACTGATGAAATACCTAAACAAGGTCAAAGAAATAATGGCCGAGTTTGAAGAGGTAAAAATCACCCATATCCCTCGAGGGAAAAACAGCCGGGCTCACATCTTGTCCAAATTGGCAAGTAAGAAAAATCTGGGGAACCACAAAACCGTGGTCCAACAAAGCATAGCTGAGCCGAGTTGTTTGATGATAATCAAACCGACAAATGATTGGAGGCAACCCATAGTGGCATACCTCGAAAGAGGAACGTTGCCTGAAGACCCAATGGAGTCAAGAAGTTGATCCGAGACGCAACACAATATTCAATAGTGGAGGATCAATTGTATAGAAAGGGATTGCACATCCCTATGCTGAAATGTTTAAACTCCGATGAAACAGAATATGTTCTAGCCGAGATACACGAAGGAATCAATGGCCAGCACATAGGGGCTAAAGCTTTGGCTAGAAAGGCCCTTCGAGCTGGATATTATTGGCCAACTATGGAAGCTGATTCCAAAGAGCATGTCAAGAGATGCGACAGCTGCAAGAAACATGTCAGGCTAATTCTTTCACCTCCAGAAGAGTTGAAATACATCTCGGCTCCATGGCCCTTTTTCAAATGGAGAATGGACTTGCTGGGACCCTTCAAAGCTGCTGAAGGACAATTGAAGTGGCTAATTGTGGTCGTCGATTACTTCACAAAATGGATAGATGCAGAACCCGTTACCACAATAACCTCCACTAGGGTGCAAAGATTCTTTGAAAGGAACATTGTTTCGAGATTTGGAATACCAGTTGAGGTGGTAATCGATAAAGGAACTCAATTTGCTGATAAAAGGTTCCAAAAGTTGATGAAAGACTTAAAAGTCAAACATCGCTTCGCATCTATGGATCACCTACAGTCAAATGGCCAGGCTGAAGCTGCAAAACAAGGTAATTATTGATGGGCTCAAGAAACGAATGAAAGATGCCAAAGAAAGCTTGATTCATCAGTTATACTTTGTTCTTTGGGGATACAGAACAAGTACACAAACAGCAACAGGGGAAACCCCTTTCAGGCTGATCTATAGATGTGAAGCTATGATTCCGGTGGAAATAGGAGAACCATCCTAGAGAATGATGAACACAATTAAACAAAACGAAGAAAAAAATAGCAAGCTACTGGCAGCCGAGATAGATCTCGTTGACGAAGCCAGAGTCACGGCACATTGCCGAGATATGACTACCAAGCGACTAATAGCAGTTAGATACAACAGAAAAGAAAGACCAAGGGCGTTTGAGAAAAATGACCTGGTACTCAGAAGAGCAGACATCGGCAACAAGAATGCCAGAGAAGGAAAGCTAGCTGCAAACTGAGAGGGTCCCTACCAAGAACCAGGAACGCGGATAAACTGAAATTGTATTACAGTTAAATCCGGGATCCACCTTCTGAATATCTGAAGTATTTTCAATTTCTAGGCAAATTATTTTCCTTTTTTAGGGACTGACTAAAGCCGAATATGCCGGCAAATTCATGTAATCGACAGATTTGATATCAATAAATGAGGAGTTTTTCTTCTTAAGATTAATCCTTATTCAATTCTGATGCATCAATACAAATTCTGAGGTGCGAGTGCAATTTGTCATGCTGACTTTGATCAAGTCGAAATGCTCCTCACTTAGGTCAAAAACCTAAGGGGACATGTGACAATATTGCCTTTACCTTGGATAAAACTGAGATACAAAACCCAAGTTACGGTGAAAGGCGGCAACGATCACCTTCATCAATGCTGACTTAATGAAACATTAAGTCAAAATAAACATACGTCACGGAGAATGACAAAAAACGGAATCCGTATAAGCTGCTTTGACCTCAGCTAGGTCAATATACCGGAACTCGTAAAATGCACGAGTTGCAAAAATAAGAATATATTCGAGTTGTAAAAATAACCCATCTCGGATAGGGAACAACTCGAATAAGGTTTGACAAATCGAGTAGGGTACAAGCTTGTTTATCGAAATCGAGAAAATGCTAAGTCCTTAGAAGTATTTAGCAAATACTTCAAGTAACTCCTGAAGCTGATGAACCTCGAATACTTAGGCAGATGCGCCTAAGTTATCGAAGGGGTAAGAAATGCAAAATGTCAGAGTATAAAAGAAAAAATACAAAGGCATGACATAAATGAAGAACTTCACGTATATTAAGAAAATAAACCAGAATATAACTGGCAATATTCATGACAAATTAAAAAAGGGCTCAACAGTTCCAACAAAAGAAAGATTACAACAATAACTGGCATCCTGGCCCTTCACTCAGCAAGGGTGGCAGGAGTCTCCACTTGCGTTGTTGGAACCTCAGTAGGTTGATTGGTGAGCTCCTCACCCCCTTCAACCATGATCTCCTCACCACCTTCAACTTGAGTAACGGAGTCACCAACCGGAGATTCTGGAGGAGGAGGAACAATTTGACCCTTGTTGACGTAGGCCAGCCGGCCGTGTTAAACTGCAGTCCTGGCTTAAGAACCTTCAATTGACTTAAAGCGTTATTGAAGGAACCCATCACCGACTTCTCAAGTTCACCCCGGTAAAACTGGGCATTATATTCAGCTTCCTTCAATTTTGCCTCAACTTTCTCATGAGTAATCTTAAAGTCCATCAACGAATTACTGTTGAAAGCATGCAAAGAATGAAGTTCATTAAGCTCTCTTTGAAGATTGGTCAAATCTTCTTTCACCTTGGCCAGATCCAGAACTGCCTGGTCATTTTCCTTCTTAAGAGAGGAAAAATCTTCCTTCACTTTGACCAATTCAGCAACGGTTTTGGCCCTTCCCTCCCGGGATGCGTTTACCTCATTGAGGTTACGAAGATATTTATTTTTTAAAGACAACAAAGGCCTCGCCATTGTGGCCATCCTCATACAGCTAAGCTCCATGTCCTCTAACTCCTTAATCTAAGAGGCATTGAAAGGAGAAGAGTTAAAAAATTTCTCTGGAGGACAGTCAACATCTCAAAGAGCACCGCTAATCCCGGCAAATTATTTCAAAAGTGTGTAAAAAGCACCAACTGTTAGGATGAAGTTGGGAAGGGGAGACTTCAAGATGATTCAAGATGTCCATTTAAAAGTCGGTAAAAGGTAAGGTGATTTTAAGCTCAGAAAATAAACATTTATAGACGAAAAAGAAAGAGTTATCACCTTGCCCAGAAGGAGAACAAATTCGGTCATTTTCTCCGGGTACGGAAACCCGGAAAAAAGTAATAATGGAATCATGAAATAGAGGTACTGACTGTAAAGCAGCATGGAATGTATTCGGATTGTTTTCATAAGTGGAGTGAAGTCCTAAGACTTCTTCGTCAACCCATTCTAAACCCGCCACATTAGAAGGGAGCGCAAAGCGAGAAGCGAACGGTAGGGACGATTCCTCGGCATGTTCCTAGACGGAAAGGCACTGTTAAAATCTAGTTCAGTAAAGGAATTTATAGCTAATATGTTATTTGAGGATGGTTGTGGACGTAAAATTACCCTAATCCATCCGAAACCCGGTAAAGGGAATGCACAGGCCCTAAAAGGGGTAAAGCTACGGTGATAATTAGAATAACTTTCAGGCAAAGAGGATATTGGCGAATCTAAAAGGTTTTTCTTAGAGGGGATAGAAGAGGAAATATCAAGAGGGTTCATAATAGTAAAAAATATGAACAGTAATAAGCGCATGGAAGATAGCCAAAAAGATAAGTATGCAAGGAATGCAGGAAATAAAGATTACAAAGAATGAGAACAATAAAAACGATAAACTTGTTGGGGAGTTCGACGAAGATGGCGAACAAGAACAGCAACTTGGCAGCAAAGCCAACAAGAGAGCCAAGAAAACGCAGAAGAGGGAGAAAAAAGAAGAAAGACTTTGACAAATCGAGGAGAATAAAACATGAATAAGGGAAGTTATGTAGAAGATGAAAAGAAACCCAAAAGGCAACTGACGTTTTGAATTTCGAAGTGATATGATTGATAGACATCAAATCGCGCCGTTTGAGAAAATCGATACCAGTAAGAAAATGACAGCTGGCATGCGGGGGATGATTAGGCAGAAAACATTTAATGATAGGATTCATAAAGTAAGGATAGGAAAAGTTATATAAGGACAGCCCGTATTGTTAACTCGGAGTAGAGCAAACATCATACTCCGAGCCGGGGTTCTTAATGTTCCGGGTTCGTCACCTGGGCTTTTGCAAACCCAAATAGAACCCATATACGAGTTCGAGTATAACGGTAAGATACAACCAGTAACCCCGGAACCCGGACGAGGAACCGGGAACATGTGTAGGACCCAACTGTTAGTGGTCTTAATGGGCCCTACCACAATCTCGATAGTGGGTTACTGATAACTACCCACTCTCACATATAATCGTCTGATATCATATCTATATATATATATATATATAAAGCATAGCCCCATAAGCAGAGACGGAGACTAAGAAGAATACCCATTAATGTTCGTCCAGAACAATCATAAATTTTAGAATTATTAATTATACCTAAATTAAGTCTTTTATTCTCACCCACTCAAATCTAAGACAACATATCAGCCCAAATAGAGAACAAGCTTCAAATGTATCAGCCCATTAACAAACCTCTTATTACTAAGCTACTTATGGCCTAAATAGACCCTAAGCCCACTTTGGATGACCTAAGTGCAAGTTAGAAGAGAGCACTACAACACTGCAGCCGCCATCATGCTTTACGGCAAAGCATGGAAAGAGAGGTGACCTGTGGAGATGGAGATGGCGATTCAAGCCAACAACGCACATGGAGATGATACTAACTACACGGCGGAGCTCACGGTGGTCTGGCGGCGCGGTCCCAAAAACCTTGAATGGTAGCAACCAAAGGCCAAGAGGATAGGACTTGCTCAAAAGGTCAAGAAGCTCCAGAAAAATAATTGATTCAAAGGAAATGGAGCAATGCGAAGAAAAGAAGGTAAAGGATTGAAAGATGAAAGAGAGGTATTTCTCAGAAAGGCAAAATGAAAACAGTAAGGCAGCAAAAAGACTATTGAAAGGACAACCCTATGGCATTTTCGTTTGAACACTAGAATTTTGAAGAGTTTCCATTATTGTTTCAATCCATTCAAAATTGGTTAAATAATTAAACAAGTAAATAGGCATATTGGTCAAACAATGTCGGTCAAACATTTGTTAAGTAGAGATAAATTGTTATCTCTCTCTCTTAAGCACATTAGGCCTCACAACACAAACCACCACCTTAGTCCTCCATTCACACAATGGAAACCACCATTTTCTACGTCTGTTGTCAACCTCTGAGTACTAGTCACCCCTGTATCAGGATCTCTAAGTCAACATAACAATGAATAGCCAATCTCCTCGCGGAATTGCATATTTATTGGTCACACTCTAGACCACTATGTATCATCTCTTTGCCATTGTACTTTACCAAGTCCATGGGCCCAAGAGGACCAACATAGTTTCACGGTCCACCCTGACGACCATTAACTTAAGGGGTTAAAATTCTTTTATAAATTCTTTTATAAGAGAATATTAACTTCAGGTGTGTTTCTCAAATATTAAAAGCTATCTTGGGCCAAAACCATAATTACCTGCATCCACTTTCAGATTGGAAAGTGGTTTTATGACATCCTCGAGAAGCTCTGAAAGATTTTTTGAATTGAGTGGACCCTTATCATCTTCCGTCTCAGAGTCTGAGCTTGAGATAAGAGTGTGCTACAAAGGCAAAAAATTTATTGCAGCAAGAATTTTAATATGAGAATACTTGCCCATACAAATGATGAAACAAGATACATAAAAAAAAAGGATGCAAGAAAAAGAGATATACAAATTACTAAAATGGTTTGGGATTTTTTTTTTTTTTTTTATAACAATGGTTTGGGATTTGGGATAAAGGTGTTTTTGATGTTGATGATGATGTTGATGTTTTGATAACAATGGTTTGGGATTTTAGTTCCTCTAGAATCATCTACACATACATGATTCATTATTATCGTGCATCACCATACTCTAATGGAAACTATAGCATAACAAAAACTGTCAGTATTTGGCATACAAAAACAGAGATTGTTAATAAATCTGGTCAAAAACAGAGATTCCTAAAAATAATGAGTTATTTCTTGCATATTAACTCAACTCCCATGAGACTTTCCCAAAAACATGTAGTATTTTTCCAATAAAAGGTCGTGGTTTGCTTCAAATTGTGTAAGCCGGCAAAGGCATTGGATAGCATGCCAACAAAAATTTGCTCATTACAAAGAATTTAAATGTGATTTGCAGTATTAACCTTGATATCCAACGAATAGTTATCGTTAAATTTCATGAAATCACAAATTACATACAAAGTAACAAAATTAGTTGAACACTAATTGATCAATATTATATAATTTGTATTTCACAATTATATAATCTTGCACAAAACTTTAAGGTATTTACATTAAATACTAAAAAGGAAAGTACATGATATCAGTTTAACTATCAAAAATAGAACAATCAAGAAAAGTACATTACCGGAGGTGGTGCTATTTGACAAATTAATTTTTGTGGTAATTCCAAGGCAAGGGTAGGCCAAAAGGGACTCAACTCCTGGCGAACCTGCAAAATATGCACATCTCTTTGTCACTAAAAGAATCTCCTATACACCTTGGGTAACAAAAAGGTTATATGAAACAGGAAGGAAGGAAATGGATACCGCCCAGAAAAAAAAATTAAAGAAAAAAAATCTATTTACCCCTAAAAGAGGGAAACAATACTTATCAGTATCACATGTTATTACCGATTGAATCACACGCCATGTGGACTCAAATGGATAGGCCTCCGAGGATCCAATAACAGGCTTGTCTTCTAGCAAAACTTCCAGACAAGCATGCATTGACTTTGCAATGGAGTCAAGATTATATCCTCCTTCTAAAACCAGTACAATCCTACCTTCAGCAAAATTCATCAACTGAAATATAGAAGAGAAAAGCATATATAACAGTGATTGATATAGGGATCAGCATATCAAACTCTACACAGATTTTTTTTTTTTCCAAAATTTAATATCAACAAGAAGCACAATATAAATATTAAAAAAATGACAGCATAATTGAAGGAAAAATAATTTCCCAATCATGAATGATAACAACATGAAAATAATCAATGCACATATATATACACTGTACACAAACATTTAATTTTCCCTTTTGCTACTAACTACTCTTATCTTCAGAATGTAACAGTTTTATCAAGAAAGTAAGCATACTAGCATTGGAATAAATATATGAAGGAAAAAATCATGAAAAGTCAATGTTTAAAATTAACCTTTTTCAACATAACAGAATAACCAAATGGTGTGACACGACATCCTCCTAGAGGGTCACCAACAGCTGTTACATTAAAAAAAGTAAGTAGTTAATACACTTTAAAAAATAATAAATTACAAGATCAACTGACCCAAACACAAGGCACCTCATTAAAAGTTACCAGGCAGGGCCACGAGTCCCTTCTTAAAAATCAAGTAAACTAGACTGCAACAACAAATGCAACCCTCCTCCCAAAAAAATTCTCAAATTGTAAGCACAGACAGACCTGCATCAAATCCAGCAGAAACTATAATTATGTCTGGATTAAATTCTTTGGCAACAGGGAGCAAGATGTGGTCCCACACTGCAAAGTAATCTGCATCACCGCACTTCCCATTCTCCCAGGGCACATTTATAGTATATCCAGCACCTGCTCCTTCTCCGATCATGGTATAAAATCCATCATCATTAGCTGGATAAAAACTCCCAAATTCATGCCTGCGTGAATAGGAAAAGTTGATATGGTTGAGGACGAACTATGAAAGGGATACAACCACAAATCGAATTTCATCTTAAATACTTATCAGAAGCCCAACCCTAAGTCACCAGTTTAAAGAAGGCCAAACAATCTAGCAGTCTCACCTTATCACATTATGCAACAGGGCCACAAAAACTATTAGCAACTAATTTGTAAAGATTTAGAAGTATTAAGAAACAATGACAAGATGTTACGATCTCATTTGCAAGGTATGGGACTTGGAGTCCCACATTGGTTGTATGGGCAACTAATGTGGGGTTTATAAGACCTTGGGCACTCTCACCCTTTGAGCTAGCTTTTGGGGTGGTGCATCCCAAGGTTCTTATCAAATGGTATCAGAGCCTTCCACTATGTCTCCTGGTTGCAATCGAGCGGCGCGGGTGGTGACGCTGGCATTGCAATATTCGCTCGGGGCTAGTAAAAGACTAGCGCAAAGCCATCCCGCGTGGCCGGGGCTGCGGAGCGTGGTGGAATATTACGATCCCATTTGCAAGGTATGGGACTTGGGATCCCACATTGATTGTATGGGCAACTAATGTGGGGTTTATAAGACATTGGGCACTCCCACCCTTTGAGCTAGCTTTTAAGGTAGTGCATCCCAAGGTTCTTGTTGTAAATATTAGAATTAGTATTTTATCTATTTATTTGTAATAGCTAGAATACTCTAGAAGTGTATTTTGGGCTTATCCCATTAGGTCTTTCAGTACTCTTTATATAGAGAGCTCTTGTACAGATTTTATACAATTCAATGTTACAATTCTATATTATTAAATTTACATGGTATCAGAGCCTCGGTGTACCGAGTTCGATCCTCACCGCCCTCTACTTTCTTTCTAGTGGAATTTCTTTCTTCGCACAAGTGGGTGGGCATGTGCATTGTCCACCCTTCATGCCCAGTGGGCTCTTGTGTGAGGGGGCGTGTTGAGATATATAAAATCATTAATGTAGCCACACCCAACAGCTTAAGCTTTTGGGTTAAATTGGTTCTTTACAGTTCTTATCACAAGATTAGCAACCAATACACATGACTAGAAAATAGACCAAGATGATTAACACACCTGTGAACAGAGAAGAATAAAACTCGAGAATCATTCCAGAACATTTTTTGAGTACCATTTCCATGATGGACGTCCCAATCAACAATTAAAATTTTCTTTACACCTAATTCTGGCTGTCATGCACATGGAAAATCCAGAATATTAGAGGTGGTAATAAAGCAACTGACTGATCAAAGGCTTAAAATTCTTAGTAAATACAGAATTGATAGTAGATGTTATGTTACCCACTCTTTCATCTAAGAGATAAGTGGCAGCAATCGCCACATTGTTGAACAGACAAAACCCCATGGCTTCATTGTGTTCTGCATGATGACCTGGAGGCCTAACAATAGCAACAGCAGAATGCAATTCCCTGCTTGCCACTCTTTTAGCCACCTATTTGTCGAAACATCTTCAGTTAGGTTCATAAAGTTCTATATATAATAAAAAGGGCAGCCAAGTTCACAAGGCTCCCACCATTGTGAGGTCTGGGGAGGGTTAGATGTATGCAGCCTTACCACCATAAAAGAAGAGGCTGTTTTGGCAACTACAACCTATGACAATCAGGTCACAAGGTAGCAACCTTACTGTTACACCAAAAGTCACCTTCCCATGTATTTGGGGAGGAGAGAGAGAAAGAGAGGGAGAGGGAGAGTGAGAAATCGTAGAAACAAATTCTCTGTCCAATTGCAAAAATTCAATGAATGCAATTGAAGAAATCTAAACCACAGAGAAAAACTTCAATGAAAGCAGAACACTGAAAACAGGTAATAACAGATTTCCATTCAACCCCATAATACACAAATCTCAGAAGTTTGTATTATATAAAGCATCCTTGTAAATATCACCTCTACAGCAGAGCCAGCAGCAAGATAAGCAGCTTCTGATGAACCTTCATTAAAATATATAGAATTCAATTTTAACGCAATCTTATGCCTCCGAGAATCAAACTGTTTTGAGCTGATCTTCTTAATCAGGTTTACATGGTTTTTGGAATGAACTGAAAGTAAATATTTATCTTCAGCTTCTTTGGCATCCAAAATCACACATCTGAAATATTGACAAAACACCAAATTTATTCAGAACACAAAAGAGACAAGTATGATTTTGTCATTTGCACATGTCTACCGTTAGAATCAAAATTCCAACAAGGCAACAACAGAGTATGGACGATTGGACAAAAGAGAAGAACCATTTGCACATGTCATTGCTTGTAACTTATAAACTAGACAGATCTATTTTTGAACTAAGCGCAAGCAAACAACCAAACGAATCAAGCTCCTTGTACAACTACTCCACGAACCCCAACTCATTCAAGTTCAAAACTTGAGTCATTAAATAACAGTATTCTAGGCTCAAATTAATAACCCATAAAAACAAAGTGCAAAAAAAAAAAAAAAATTATAAAAAAGAGAGGGAAAAAAATGAAATTATAAACCCTAAAGCATGAAATTACCGGTCGGGAATGCCAGCGCTTTGGAGCTTGTTCCAAATAGCTCGAATGCGATTAGGGGTCTCAGGATGGTAATCATCGTCTGGTTTGTGATGCTTGCACATCCTCTCATCGTATAGCAAACCAACACGGCGTTGACCAGTGTTCTCACTCCCACACTCCATAGTATTTCTTGTTCCAATCCCACACTTTTGACTTTCTATCTCTCAGCTACCAAACATTCCATACATCGACCGAATTCAAATGAATTTCACCACCAAGTAGTTTTGAATTTGAAACTCGCTACTTTCCGCTTATATACCTTTTTGCCTTCAATTTCACACGAAAACATGCATTCTTAAAAAGGAAAAGTTAAAAAACTACCACGTAGTATTGTTATTAATCACTTACGTAATTATATTTTTTTTTTAATCACTTAACTTTATGTGTTTTTTTTAATTTGTATTTTTTGTTAATTTGTCAAAAAATTAATTAAGTGTATATATTTTATTTTAAAAACAAATAAAGTGATAAAAAAATTAAATGTTATGAAAATTAAAACACTTAATAAAAAATTAAAAAAATTAAAATATATCACAAAAAATAAAATAGAATAAAAAATAGGACCAAATATATTAAAAATCATAATAGGGACAAAAATTCAAAAAAAAAATAGTATAAATGAAAAAAATATATATTGAAGACATAAAATAGAAAAATAATTAAGATAAAAAAGAAATAAAACAAAAAGAAAATTACAGTTATGAATTTTCAATATACTTGCTTTTATTTTATTTTTGTTTTGTTTTGTCATTGGTCTATTATTCTTTTTGTTTAGATATGTTTGGTCTTTTTTATATCCAAATTTTATTCTTTTTTCATATCTCAATTGCATTCTCTCTTTTTCTCAATTTTTTTTACAAAAATCTTTAGTAGATGGAGTGGCACAAGACTAAAAAAATTGAGAAGAAAATCAGAATAAAATAGATCAAAAAAAAGACCAAACATATTTAAATAAAAAGGAATAAAATAGGCCAAGGATAAAAAAGAAAAAAAATTAAATTAAATATATTGAAAACTCATAATTGTGATTTCTTTTTAATCTATTTTTTATTTTATTTTTTATCTTAATTTTTTCTTCTAGTTTTTTGTCTTTAGTAGATACTTTTTTTATTTGAAATATTTTCATTTTTTTAATTATAGTCGTTTTTGTCAGTGTTGCGATTTTTAATATATTTGTTCTTATTTTTTCTTCTATTCTTTTTTATTTTTTTCTTTTAATCTTTTATTAAGGGTTCTACATTTTCCTAACATGTCGGCTTTTTATTTTTTTTCTAAAAATGGTATAATAGGTGTAATTAATTAATTTTCTAACATTGTTAAGAAGGGATATAGATGGAAAAACCACAAAGAAATAAGTAATTAAAAAATATATATATATATATATATAATATAAGTGAATCAAAGCAATATTACAGTAGAGTTTTTGGACATTTTCCTTCCTAAAATGACAAACATTACATGTATGTAATTACTACTCACACTGATAACATGTGTGATTTTGTGTTTGGAAAATCACAATCTAATGGTCATGTTATGGAGGTTGTAAGAGCAAAACCAAACTCAATATAACTTCATTATAAATTTTCACTTTTAAGGACCAATCTGTATAGACACTCTTTCAAAAATCACAGCAACATAAGGGATTAATTTCAAGTGATGTATAACGTTGTATATAAAAATAAAAATTTGGTAAGCGTATATAAAATTTAATTTTGATGTAACAATAACATAAAATATATTTTCATCTAATAATATATGCATGATGACTACATATATAACATTTTAATTTGAATATTTTGTCAGCAATTTGTTTTTATTATCATTTAATGATGTATTTTCAGATTACTTACTAAGTTTGTTATCTCAAGTGTTATTAAATTTATGAAGTAACATAATGATTATGTTATTCTACCTACATTATATTATTATGTTACTTCTTAAATTTTATTTTATTTTTTGGTATCCTTGTTACTTCTTAAATTTAATAACAGTACTTGAGATAACCAACGTATGAAGTAATCTGAAAATACATCATTAAAGGATAATAAAAACAAATTGCGTACAAAATACTCAAATTAAAATGTTATATATGCAGTCATTAATTTAATTATATTGTTTTAATTAATATTAAAATTTAAAGTTAAAATGATTTATCTTTCATTCATTATTAATGGGTTAAATTAATTATTTTATACACTAATATGTAACTAAGATTATGTAAAAAACAATACCGACTGATTAATAATATATATATCATAATAGGAATAATAAATTTTATGCTAAATTTTAGTAAGTTGATTTATTTATATCTGATGATTATATATATATATAACATAAATGACAATCATCGTTACTTAAATTGTTTTTTCTAAAGTATTTAATGACATTAAATATTATTAAATATTAATGATCAAGTATCAAATTGGCTGTATATATAATTTAATATATATTAAGAACAAAACTACATCATAAAAATGATAATAAATTATTTTAACATTAATTAAATGTCATTATATATATATATTAAATACTAATTATCAAATGTAAAAATATTTTTGTATACATAGATAGATATATATATATATATGTATATATATATATATATATATATATATATATATATGTATATGTATGGAGATCGATAGTCAAAAATTAAGAATATTAATATAAAATAGTTCACACATAATACGAGTATATTTATAATTTTAAAAGAGATTTATTTAATTAGAGCATAAAAAGACAAGAATATAATTAAGATTGAATTAGAGTTAATAATAAAATTATATAATACGATAGAAATAAAAACTTAATTATGTTAAAAAATTTGCAAGCCAAGGAGATAATGATGCAAGTTTTTTTTAGTAATGATTATGTTAAATTTTGGTTAGATTCTAATTAGATTTTTATTTAGTTTGGTAAAAACTTAATTATATGTAATGATTAGATTAGTCAAAAAGAAGTAAAGAAGTCAACCTATTTATTTATATATATGGATACCCTAATGATAGTAGGAACAAAGGAAGAAACCGATGGAAATAGGAGAGAGACAATAAGAAGAAAGAAATGGAGAAAAGGAACAGAGAAGAAAAAAGCAAAACGAGGAAAGAAAAAAAAAAGGAGGAGAAAGAGAAAGCACATAAATGTTAAAGAAAAAAATAGAAAGAAAATAAAAAAAGAGAGACAGAAAGAAGAAAGTGAGGCAGATAAATATAATATTAGGGTAAAACCTTATTCTCTTAGTTTCATTTTTTCATCTATTTTATATTTAAAGTTGGCATTTCTGAAATTATTTCTTTAAAATGCTATGAAGTTGTCGTTACTCTGACAAACTATATTTCTATAAACTTATTCTACTCTTTTGGTTTATTTTCTATATTTTTTTTGTGGATTTGATAAATTTATTGATATTAGTTATAAAATGATCTTTGTTACGGAATCGGCAAGTATACCGTTCGTTTCAAGTAATAAAATGATAAGTAAGATATCGTCCCACGAGGATTAATGCACCAATGACTAATTTTAACTATTCCCTATTTAATTGGAAAAGAAAATTGATTTGATTGTGAAAGTGGTTGGTTGTTGTAATATAGAAACAAATTTTTAAAAACAATAATATTTAAAAGCATGCAATAATTTATCAAGAATGAGAAAATATGAGATTGATTAAAAATTGTAAAAGAACTGTAGTCAGGATGATCTTCACCTCTGATTCTCCCTTATATTCCTAAATTATATTTTATAACTAACTAGGTTATTAGCTCAAGCAATTCATTATTTTCTTATAAATAGTTGAACTCTAATGTCTTAGTGATTTCAATCTTTTAACTCAATTAGAATCCTAGTGTCCTAGTAATTCTTCTTGAATTAAGTATTAAGCAAATGAATTAAAAGTCTGCAATCTATGTAAGCCTATGTCTAGGTCATGCATAAATTGTTATTCTACCCTTGTCCAGATTAATACTCCAATATGTCTATTGTGAGCCCTAACCCTCAAAACCATATAATAGAGCGATCAATTCTATCAAGCATATGGAAGGTAGAATAAAACCAACTAAACTAATTAATTATAAAAACAATACATAAAATATAAATGATTCATATTGGGTCCGTGATCCTAACTACAAAAAGAACTTAGTCAGACATATCTGGCTTAAACAAATTCAAATAATAAAAACTGTTCATGAAAGCAAAAGAAAAGAAGAAGAAGATGAAGGATCAATGGTCTTCAGTCTTCAACTTCGGTGGAATCCTGATCTCTAGCGTGAGTCTCCAAGAATTCTCTCAATTCTCTGATTCTCACAATTCTCTCCAACCAAAGATGTCTGTCTCTGGGGTCTGAGTCTCTATTTATAGACTTTGTGCCCTTGTCTAGAAATCTTGATCAAATCTTCATCGTATATCTAGGTCCAATTTCCATTGATATAGTTTGAATCAAGTTTTAAAATAATCACGTGCCTCCCACACTACTAGCCATGTTGGCGCTGATAGTGTGAGAGTGTTGTTCTGGATACAGTAGCTTCGCGCTACTAGCGTGAGTCCCGCGCTGATAGCGCGTTTGGTAAAAGTTACTCACGCTAGTAGCGTGATGGCTCTGGATTAAAAAGTGATGCTGGGCTGATAGCGCCAGATCCGTGCCAACATCGCGGGCCTTCAGACTTGTGCTTTCAATTGGGCTTCTTTCTTGTCAATTTTCTTACAAAATTATAAGAAAATCAGTGACGAGATATCTGATTGGTATTTATCAATTTAATAGCAATTATAGCCCTTTTTATTCAAGATTGATCAAAATTCTTTCTCTTTTTGGCTTAAAATCATGTATATGCTGGAGACATGTCAATCTTCAATCAAGATTATATAACTAATGGATTCCTTTGGTACCAAATGAATATTAACAGAATATATAATTTTTAACTGAATAATTCTGATACGAACTGACCCAAAAAGATTTGGGATTAGAAGATCAGAAGGTAAGAGATGCCTTACTTGGCATAAGCTCCGTCAAACAGAACTTTTCACATGCAGAAACCCACAAAGGTTTGGGCTTTAGTGGTTTCGGTTAAAGGTTACACGTTCATTTTTATGTTTGTTATTTATGTTATTATTTACTTATGATAAACATGTTTGGAAGAATGATATTTTCTGCTAAAGTGGTTGGACTGGTTATAGTTTGAAAATCCACATATTACTAAGATTTATCTCACGTGTA